CTACTCCAATTTTTAAATCACTGGTAGTTCCAACAAATTTATTTTATTTTATTTATTTTCTATATACGATAAATTTTCAAAATATTTTGATTTATTTTTAACTGTAAACTGTTTACAGACATTTTCAATTTTATTAGTTTTTTTTTTCTGTGAATGTCAATTAACATTTATTTGTTGGATAATGGATATAAAAGCTTGCGAATTTAATACAAAGTTCCTACTTTTATCAAAAAAAAAATGTCTAAAATGAAGTTCATATTTTTACAAGATTGGATATTCATTTGATTTCTCATGTAGCGAATTTCTTATTTTGTTGTAATTCAAAAACAAAAAAACCGTAGACACTTTATCAATTCCTATACTTGATAAATTTTTGAAAATATTTTGACTCATTTTGAGCTGCTTACGGATATTTTCAATTTTTTTAGTTTTTTTTTTCTTTAAATGTCAATAAAATATTATTTGTTAATGCAAATAGCATGGAAATTTAATGCAAGGCTCTTGATATATTGTTCCAATAGCAGTTGAAAAATATTAAAAATACTATTTTTCTGATACCTAAGAAATTAAAGTTTGAAATTTGACAGAATGTATCAAATTTAAAATTAAAATATGCTTTTGTAGGTAGTTAATAAATTATAATAGGTTACATACTTACGTAGGTTAAAATGTATTGTAGAGCTCGGATATTCGAATTTGTAATGGGGGTGTGAGGTTATAACTTATAGATAGCTAACCGCAAAACATATTTAATCACCCAATGTTTTATGTTACAATACCGGGACTAGCGGAAGGGTACGGAGTATAACCAATCTTACCTAATACCTTACGAGCAAAGAAAATGCCTATTTTACCGTTAGCCGAATGGAAAAATGTCGTTTTCTAGCGCTTCCATCGGCATTGAAAATTGTACTTTCCGGATGAAGTGTTGGAAAATTATCTTTTTCCATTCAGCGAACAGAAAATGCACTGTCCAAATCAGGCATTATCGTATGCGTTATGCGTATCATAGGTATACATTTTATCTAATATATCATTTTATCAATTAATAGTTGCAAGGAGGGTAACTCCCGAGACCCGAGATATGAAACAGTTGGGCAGATAGGTACCGAGAACAGCAAGAATAGTTCATTATGGATCCGTAATATCAAATAATTTTCTGAAATAGCCCGCCGCCCACGCCATTTACTATTACGCCCACGCAATGAACCATATATACGGTTAAACAACTTGGATCTAAGTACTATCGATAATAAATTTCATATTATTCACATACTAGTGTCTAGTATACTACGTACATACATAGTATTACAAAACTAGTTTATATGCCTGTGAAGTGTGATTATGCATTGCTTCACCGGTTTTTCTTGGACGGAAATGGTAAAATGATAAATACTATTATGTATAATTTGGTTACCAACATTATAAAGATTTTTAAATATTTGAATAATTATGTTTTTAAAATAGTAAAACATTGTACATGGAAAATTTTTGAATATTTATTCCAACAGATCCCTATTCCGTTTATTGCAAACCTATCATTACAGTAATATTTAATTTTTCAGTAGAATCATCTGGATTGAAGAACAATGGAAAATTCAAATAATATAAGTCAAAAAAATATTTAACTTATTATATATTATGCATTATAATGTCTCTCACAAAACAGAAACAAAAAATAACTTGTACAGTTCAATCCAGTTACAAGGCCTTCCAAACCTTTTTTTTTTCATTCTAGCAATGCACCATTCCTGTATCATACAAATATTTTCTCAGTTCTGTCCATAATCCACAAAAGAACATCTGCCTGCTAGAGCTTTGAACTTATCCCTCGCTCGGGACGATTTGTTGTTGTTGCTCTTTGAATAATATCACATCCTGTAAAAGAAGTTTAAAATAATATGTACTTCCGCTTCTTATTTGAGCGTTCTTGGTTGATTGTGTCAGATCTTTTCCTAGCCTGGATTGAGAGGGGGTTTGTCCCATAAATATTATATTTATATAAAAAGCCCATAACTGTCAGCCAAAGATTATATTGAAATAATTTATACTTTTTAATTTATTACAGTGATAAATATTACATTTTAAGAAAAACTGTCAAACTATTTATTAAATATTTTATTTATGTTTATTAAGTTATTTGTATGCCATATTAAAATGTTCAAACAAGCATAAGTTATATGCATGTTATTGAATTTTATTTTCATTGACTGGGTCTACAATTCTTTATTGATCCTTAGAGGTCTTAATTCAGACTTGATCTCCTCTAGTCTCAAATTCACACTATTATTCAGACTATCTCTAATACTTGTGGTTAAGGCTTAAAACTATAGGTGTTGATAGTTTTCACTAAACCTATAGGCTATAAATCTAATCTCACTCATGTAATAATTTCATAATTTTTTGTAAGCTTTGTGTTACTTGTCTCACTAGTGAAAAGATTATGCACTTAGGCATGACATTTATTTTATCATTGGGAGCCTATTTGGATTTTAGTTTGTTTAAATATATTACTAAATATTGTTGCTTAAAATATTGTAGTTATCAAAATATAACAAAAACATAGAATGATTTACATCAGTGTTCTTAAATCATAAAATAAATAACCATTAAAAAAAAATACTAACCTTTCATAAAATGTTATTAGCAAGGATTTTTGGTTACAATAACCATTCTTTCAATTCAAAGGCATTTCCTAAAAAAAAAAAAACCGTGAGTATTTATTTAAACTTTAACTAACAGATTGTTAACATCTGTCTTAAAATGTGAAGTTGCATAAAATATAAATTTACTTGTTAGATTCTACTTCTTCAAGGCATTTTTCAGTTTTTATTGAAAAAGCATTTGTTTGATAAATTTTGACTGTCAGATACATTTGGTAAATTTCTCACGTCATGCTGAAATGAATTAATAACATTAACTATACTTACTAATAAACAAAACATGATTTATACAATTTTAAATTATAATAATAATAATACTTGTATAAAAAATGGTTTTGCATTGGATAAATAAAATAATACCTATTTGTAAACCAAACAGAACAAATCATAATTAATTTACATGTAAGCTGATCAATATGTCCAATATATTTCAATGCTCAACTTTATAAACAGGATAAAAATAAAACATACATGCTGGTAAAATAAACAAAACAAAAATTATACATAATCGAGAATCTGAGTTAACACACATGAAAACATACATACTTACAAAACATTGAAGATGTTCCGTTTGCTGAATACATTCATGGACACAGATTGACAGCTATTCGACAATATTATAGACCGAATTTCATTTCAATTTTATATTTTCAGCAACAAATAATTATCACATTACTCCATTTTGACATCGTAAAAGACATATTTAACTCAATGTTTAAAGTTTAAACCAATCACTCCATACAGGCAGATAATTTTGCATACATTTAAATAAGGTTAAAATGAAGCAACTTATTTATTGCCGGCAGACAAAATAGTCTAAGGCAATAATGATAACAATCACAATTAAATCATCGTTCATTCAGTCAGACTAGAAATAATTATATATACAAGGAGGATTATGGCAATCATGCTTAATAACATATTTCATACCCAATAAACACATTTTTTTTTTTAATTAACAATTATTTATATTACTTAGCAACATTAATTAACAATTATCACTGTAATTGAGATATACTAAAAACTTAAATGAAATAAAATACTCTGACTAAAACTGTATATTATTGATTTTCAATTGTGTATTAGATTTCATTAGAATAATAACTGTCATAATGTAATTTTATTCAAATGAAAGATAAAAACCATCTTATTTATAATTTTGTTTTAAATAAATTAAACATAAGTCAAACATTGGTAGCATAACTATTTGACCAAATAACCAACCAGAAACAATATTTTGGAAGTTGATTATATTTTATGTATACATGTTATTATAGAAAACATTGATACAGTCAACTATTCGGAAAGACAAACAAATAAATATATATATACATTATACATATATTATGACATTTTATTTTAAAACTTGATTTTATTTTCAAATAGGTTTGGTTAAAATATTTTTACGACTGTATAATATAATATAATATAATATAATATAGTATAACATAATTTTATTGAAAAACTAATAGCAAATTTGGATATAAGAAAATAACAAATATTTTTCAATTGTCAGAAAACGTAGAAGTACATGACACTTGAATATTAAAAAAAAAAATTAGTTGGTAGTACAATTAATAATTATGTAAGGTAAAAAAAAATAACTGTATTGTGGATATTGAAAGCCATAATACCATCCATATTTTCATTGCGTAACAAAAAGAATCCAGTCTTAAGTGTATACAGTAGACATACAGACACAAAATAAAACTACTTTTGAAAGTATAACTATTTTTTTTTTTTGGTATATAATATTGTATTACCATGTGTTCAGGCCACAAAGTAAAACACAACTATTAAATGTTTTAATGAGATAGTATAATTTCCAATCAAATAATGTCATACAAATTACGTTCATACCATTTAAGTTCATTCGTACCACCAAAGGATAATTAATAATTTAAATATGTATTCTATTGATATTAAGATAATCCTTAAATTAACAATAATATAGTAGTAACAATAAATAGATTTATAAACAAAGAATACACAAGTACCTATATTTATATATTTAATACATACTCTGATGCATAAAAAAATGGTTTATACATATACCTATTCATATGCGTGTGATGTAAATCTACTTTTTAAATTTTGATTAACAAGTTAATTTGTCCAGTAAATAAGGTTTTGTTTTTTTTTTTTTGCAATGCCATATTCTATATTAAAACAAGTTGTATTTTAACATAAGCCATTTAATTTTTTTTATTTGTAATAATCATGTATGTACAATGTACATATTGAATACGTTAGAAAAATTGGTATGGTTTAAGGACAGTAAATAAATTGTTATTGATATTATTCATTTAACTTTGTATTATATTACCATTATCTTATTTAGCGATTGCCTGATGAATTGTAATCATTATTAGAACGTTTCCTGTTATTATAGTTATTTCGTTGAGAGTTGAGACCATGTTGAGACCATTGATTGTTTCCACTAGGAGGCGGTGGTGGTGGCATCATACGACCATTAGCTAGACTCCATCCAGCAGCTTGCGTTAATGCAGCAGCAACAATAGCCGGGCTCAAAGGCAACATCGGATTATAGCTGTCTTGACCATTAATCCCCAATGACTGTAGATTAGGCATGTCTACACTCCCCCGATTATCATGTTGTGAGTGATACCAATTTCGATAATTGTCATTATGGCGATTATTAGAACGCTCCCAGGGTTCACTAGGTGGGGGAGTTTGATGACGATTTTTGGGAGCTTGTGGTTTTGGGGCGGCTTCGGAAACACGCACCGAAACGTCTTTAACAATATGATCTTCGCCACATAAACTAGCAGCTACCTCAGGATCAAGGAAAGTTACAAATGCAAATCCGCGGAATGGATTTTTGGGTACGAACACATTGATGACTTCTCCAAATTTGCTGAAATACTCACGAATGTCATCAGCGGTTAAATCTTCTGTCACACGACCCACAAATACTTTCCCAGAAAGCTCTGAACCATTACCTTCCTAAATTATATAAATACTTACATAAATATTCAAAGTTTGTATAATCTACTAAATTGATCTCACCTTAGACTTTGGAACCTTAACTTCACAATTACGACCATCAATCTTGTGACGCTGAGAAAGAACTCTTACTTGAGATTCTAAGTTAGTATATCTTAAAAATCCATATCCTCGAGATTGTCCATTTTTATCCCTTTTTATCTATTAATAATAATAATAATAGATAAATGTTATTAGCTATAATGATATACAGTCCACATCATCTATAACGATGGTCAAGGGACCGTAAAATATATGTCGTTATAACCAGATGTCGTTACAACCAAATTTGATTTTTTTATTTATACATTATACACTCGTATTCTACTAGTACAATGAATTTTCAAGCTACATACACAAGTACATATATTAATATAATTTACATATATACATATTTAATAACAGCCAATATGCATACATATTATTTTATTATAAATTTATATTAAAAATATGTATTGTTTAAATAAATATGTAATTTTTTCAAACACAATTAATCTAATCAATAAATAACAAAATTAAATATTAGTACACAATTATTTTAAGAAGTCAGTAATTTTTAATTGTTTTGATTTATCATTTAATAGCATATTTTGTATAGTGAGTTTTAATGAATTAAAATTTTAGAATTTTAGATTTGTGGTAATATCTCACAATTTATATCACAACCTTATCGATGTAGGTAATTACACCGATAATATTAGACGATCATTTGTGAAAATAATAATATACAGTCGTTATATACAATTAAATGAGTGTTGCGGTCCGATTTTTAAGTCGTTTTAGCCGATATTGTCGTTACGTCCAATGACGTTAAAACCAGTTACTTTGTATGTAAAAATAAACAGAATTTTGCCGGGCCCTTTAAATTAACGTTGGTATACCCCATATGTCGTTACGACCGGCGTCGTTATAGATGGTACCGACTGTATGTGTAAGACACTATTCAATACTTGTATCTTCTTCTTTCCTTTTGCCCATCACTTTCAACTATTTAGGGTAGGCCTCGCGTGTCCTACGCTTCTTGGGGGCACTATCTCTCGCCTCTTATTTACTCACACTAGCTATTTTCATGTTATTTTATATTCTATTCACATCAATTTCTTCTTCAGTCACCCTCTCTCTCTCTCGTTTCCTACAAAATTAATTTGGGGGGAGGTATTTTAAATTTTCAAGGTGGTATGCTATAGGTAAATAATGATGGGAAGTAAAAATATATTTTCGGGATGGTATAATTTATTTCCGGAGGGGGGTAATACTCCTCCGGTCATTCCCCTAAAATAAATACTAGCCTTAACCATATCTATAAATACCAGAAACAAATGTATTTTTTTCTCTCTATTTACTATATTATTCAATAATTCAAAAATAAAATAGTTCTCTTCTCCCCTTCAGCTATCAATATAAATTATGTTCATGTATGCATTTTTTAGATCATTTAATTATTACCTGTAGCATAAGTAGTTCTCCAAATTGACCGAAGTATTCTTTTAATTTTTGTTCATCATAAGTGTATGGTATATTTAAGACAACTAAGTCTGAACATTTCAATTTTGTCTCTAATCTCTTGGTTTTAGCTGTTGGATTTTCTACACTATCATCAATCTTTCTCTTATTTTCCACTAAAATAGTAAAATTATAGGCATATATTAAATTTTAAATTTATAAAGGTATGCTTACATTATTATAGTACCTAAACTTAGGGCCGTTCTTACAACGTCTAGTTAAAGTTAATCGACACTTAACCGGCCGAATTCTGATAGTAATAAAATCTGTTATCAGTCGGTTAAACCGATACTTTACCGGACATTGTAAGAATGGCCCTTAATGTAATAAAATATCACATATTTATTTATTTATGTAAGTACATTTAGTAAAGTTTTAAATAAATAATAGAAATTATTGATATTAGATAAATGTATTATCCTAAACGACCTAAACCAATGATGTAAGTATTTGCTGTGAGTGAAGCAGATAATTTTTATGTAAATAAAACTACATATCAAAAAAATAATTATTAATCAAATGTTTACCAACACTAATAACATACATTTTCTATTAACTAGTGTTGGGCAATGGTATCAATAATTATTAATCATTAACTTTTTTTTTCAATATTAATACTCTAGTATAATTTTTAAAAGTAGTAATTAATTAAGAGGACGTCACACCTGCATGTGTTGTCTCCGTTTAACAAATGTACAACATAGCAAAAACTGTTTTGCACGGGACAACTTTTATCTTTCTGTGTTTGTAGTAGTGGCTCCAAAATTTTTGAACATATAGGGTGGAAAATTATCTATGCAACAGTGTGCCTATATTTTAGATAACATAAATACAATAAAAGTTATTTGTTTCTAAACATTTTGTTTTTCTGTATTTGCTTATAAAAAATGATTGGATAGTTCAATTAAAAAACACGCTGTTGCACAGATAGTTTTCTTTACGTGTTTTGAAAATTTGGTAGTTCTACAACAGTTATGGGAACGATTCTGGTTTATCAACGTATCAAATTTTCAAATTTTTTTTTTTCCAAAATGTGTATTTTATGGTCCTTTTAGGGTGCGAGAAAAATTGTCCCTCGCAATACAGTTTTTGCTATGTTGTATATTTGTAAGACGGAGACAACACATGCGGATGTGACGTCTTCTTAAGTGTATAAACCAAAATATAAAAATGATGTGTTTGGGAAAAAACTCATAGATGAGATTTGAGAACATATTTTTGTTTAATTGTTCAATTTTGTATTCAAATTTAATGAAAATAAATAACAATCATAAAAATACTAGTGGCATATTTTAAATACTGCATTCATATTATGTATGTATTAAGTAGTATAAAAATATTAATTAACTGACAATAATTGATAATATATTTCAATAAAATTGTCTACAGCTCTGCGATTTATAATAGGTATATTATAATATGAAGTATGTACCTACATGTATGCAAGCATTCCCAAGATGAATTTGCTTCTATGGGAATGTCCACAATTGTTAAAAGTAGATAGGATAATTTGACTTAATTAATATAATATGTACCTATATGCTCAATTAAGTAGATTATCAATATAAAAGTTGACAAGATATTTGGTTAAATAGAAAAAATTTAAAACATTGTCGTAAATTTTGTAATACTATTTAATTACCTTTTGGGAAAACACAGTAGTAAGGTGTCTTTCCCCATTCGTTGTCAGGCACATGGAATCGGAAGTCAGCCAACCGAACACCTCTGACAACATTGTTTTCAGTGCGAAACTTCAGTCCACTAGCACCCGGAAACTGGGCCGTTAACGTAGACAGCAGTAATGTACCATTGTCCTCAAGTGGCAATTCGACCGCTTCACCATATTCTTCGTCGGACACCAATACATACTTGACAGACATGTCGTCACTACCGTTCCCTCGTTTACAAAAAATCTAATTTCTGACGCACTACGTAGTGATATCCGAGTTTAATGGCTGGGTTATGTATGATCATAGAACAATGTATGATGTTATGGTATTTTTATCAATCGATTTAATTGATTTTTGTGACAACAAAAGTCGGATGTTTACAATGGATTTAAACACAAAACTTACGACACAAGTCAATAATTGTTACCCACGAGTTTGATCGCTTGAAGCAGATGTGACGATAAAATTTGAAAACTGGCAATTATTGAAAATTAATATACGGATAGTGGTGTCCGGAACTGGGTAGTTTCGAGATCATACGATAATACGACGCACAGCCTAATATAGTAATATTTAAAATTCAATATTTCACAGAAAACTCTAAAAAGATTAAATATTCCATTATCTAAGTTTTTTTTTTTGGTGAAAGGTTCTGAACTTATTTTTATGGTTAATGGACACTGGTAAAACATTAAACCATAGAACAGCTGCTGCTGTAATATGCGATGTACGCGCCAAGTGATAAACAAATCAACTATAGTACCAGATGTTATAATTGTTTAACCGCGCTTTTAAAATATATTTATTAGTGATTAATGATTAATGATACGATGATTGCGACGGCGCGGTCTCTCGGATGCCATTTACCAATATACCATTTCGTCTTCGTGAATTGCTGACGAGTGACGACCAGCAAGATAGTATATAGATTATGGGTACTTGCTGACGACTCAACGACTGTGATTGTTTGGTGAATTCGTGATCCAGCGCGACGGTATTATATTATTATGCTGAAACTTGGAACAATAATAAAATAAAATAAGCAGTCTGGTGATTAATTCATTACCCGTGGCAACAATTATTAAGGTCGATGGCAAATCATATACTCTTAATTCTGTGATTTGCCATCATGGTCCATCTATGACTCAAGTCTCAAGCCCCATTACACATCAGTTATTAAACATACCTAATAATAAAATATGGGTTAGATGTAACGATATAATAGTTTTAGAAAAAAAAAACTAAAATAGAAAAAAAGATAAAACAACAGGGGGCCAACGATGCATATGCTATTATGGATTATTATTATTATTATTATTTTTCGTTATAACTCCGTGTAAAAAAAAAGCTAAGTTAAAAAAAATATGTAGTAATGATTAAATCTTTAAAAGACGTGATATATAATATGGAAATTAAATAAAATGTCATTTCATAATATTACAAATACTTATGAAGACAAATAAGAATATAAGATCAATTGTAATGTTAAATACTTAGTCAACATATTATGTTTAACTATTTGGCAGGACGTAGAAGTATAGGTACTTAAATAAATACAATTAAGTAATCACTACAGTATTTACAGTAATATTAATAATGTATCAACAATATGTTGATTAAGTATTTAACATTACAATTGATCTTATTTGTCATCATAGGTTATTATAAAATGTCATTTTACTTAATTTCCATATTATACTAAATTTTTTTTTTTTACGTAGCTTTTTTTTTACACGGAGTTATAACGAAGTGTTTTTGGTGTGATATACTCTACACAACATGTATATTGTATATTTAAGTAGGCTGAGGAGTGGGGACATTTCTAAAAAAATTGGTACCAAAAAAAAAAAAAAAAATTGATAAGCAATATTTCCCTTACGCTGAAACGCTGCCCTAAGCAATAATATACTTTTTTTTTTATTTTTTTTATTTTTTTTTTTTTTATTGAACAAACATAATATATTTACAATCTGTATTTACAAGTGATACAATAAGTAAATGGGATGATTTTTGGTAAACAGGAGGGGGAAGTCACCCAGTGGCGGCACCCCGTATAATATACTTATATGAGGATTGAGGAACGAATTCCATTTAGCTACCAAGCCTTTTTTTTAATTATTTTTTTTTTTAAACATACGTTGTATTTCAACGAATTAAGAACTATGGTGAAATAAAGAATTTGCGGCCTGCAGGAATCGTAATTTTGGATGTATTATAATATATTTATATCCTTGCTCCTCACACTGATTTAGATTTCAGGTTTATGCACATTATGCGCACAACACTGTACTTTACTGCCACGGGCAGCGCCTATAACTAATTTTGATTTTTCTTTTTGAAAATTTTACACTGAATGCACTGATATTTATGAAACTATGAAATTCTCAGCACAGTCGTCAGTCAGCTCTGTGTACTTTCATAGACCATACTATAAAGTATAAATACTTCCTAATTAAAAGAAAATATTACGCGAAAATGCGAAATATAAGTAGATCATTTTTAAATTTTAAAAATAGGGAAGTTGAATCTGTATACTTACTTTCTCAATAAGTAAGGTACAAGTTACTAAATGTATTACTTATATATGTACCTACGACCTACCTAATGTATTTTTTCAATGTGGGTTCAATAATTAATCTTTGATTGTGAATAGCAATTATGCACGGTGATCGGATGATGACATTGTCTCAGACTCTATATTTCATTTAATATTTTTTTTTTTTTTTTTTTGATCTTGAATACATCGACATCTAGGTCATTAGTACAAGGTGTTAAGTTAAGAGGTATTTACAATAATATATTTCATAATTTTTTTTTTTTTTTTATATTACGTTATACAATTCTGATTTTTTAAGGAATAAAATTAAGTTGTTAGTGTCCTGTGGGTTTGGTCCAAGTGCTTGACAGATTTGTTCGGAGATGTGGAATTGATCGCGGTACTGGTTGTATTTATGGCATTCGGTGATGATATGTTTTACCGTTAGGGGGACTCTGCATGTGTCGCATAATGGAGGTTCGTCGTTCATTTAATATTTTATACTTAATCTAGACACGCGGTAGCGTGTCAAGCCAAGTTCTAGCTAACAGAACTGGCGAGCAGCACCGTGTGTAATATTACACGAACCATTTGGAGCCACTTTTGACCCCCTCATAACTCAAAAACTATTCCACATAAACATGTCAAATTTGGCTCATATATTGAGACTAACGAGATACATACATAAACCCTAACCTAACGAGATACAACCACAGAATAGATTAAATCAGAATGGAATCTCTGGCCGCCCGAAAAATAGTCCGCCATATTGAAAGGGCTCGACAGTTTTCCCAGATAACAAAAAATTATTTTTATATTATTTATGTGTTATTTGGTTACACTGTTTATCAAGATTTTCACCACAGAATAGATTAAATGTAATCTATTCTGTGTTATCACTTTTGACCCGCCACATTTTGTAAACAATTTAAAAAATAAACAGTTTTTATCCTTTGAACCAACTCCTTTGTGAATACTACCCCTAACCTTTGTTAGTTAATATCAATGAACGTAGAAAGACGTGTTTTGTTGACTTGTGATTTTTATGGTTATTGGTTGTTTCCACGTGTTTTTTTCGATTTTTAGAAACACTTGTCTTGTGTTACTGTCGTTTTTAATAATTTTAAATATAATTAATAATTATTTATTATTACTTTTTATTTAAAACATTTATTAACATGTATAATACATCGTACAATAGCCCTTGTGGCATGAAATGCTGTATTCCCGAGTGTCAGAGCAAACGAAAGGACGACTCAGCACTTACTCCGAGAAGCTACTTTTCATTTCCCAAGGATAGTTCTAGGTACCTATATATTATTTTAATTTTTTGTTTTCTGATTTATAAACATTAATACTTCAAACTTTAATTTTCAACATGTGGTTTTTAAGCTTAATAAATTTATAAGGTCATGTTAAAATTGTCATTATTGTATCAATTATGTATTATTATTTATTATTTTTATTATAGATGTACAACTTGGTTGGAAAAATGCAATTGCAAATCGTTAATGTCTATTGATCCTGTTATTCTGAACAGAAAATACAGACTTTGTTCTTTGCATTTTGAAGACAAAATGTTTAGTAACTATCAAAAAAATAGAATTAAATCTGATGCCATTAATCTATTCTGTGATACAACCATGTATGTGCTCTAAATTTCATAAACACACTTCAAACCGTTATTTAGATATTAACGTCCGAAAACCGTCATTTTTATCACTGACTGACCTATAGATCAAAATTCTAACCTAGTTCCAGATGACCTAGAAAGTTCAAATTTGGCATACAGATAGGTAGTTAGGTAAATACAAAGGAAAAAATCAGAAACTTAAAAATTTTTAATTTTTAATTTTTTAATCAATTGATTTTATTATAATTTTGCAATTATTTTATCTATTATGTTTAATTTTTCAATTAATTAATGAATTGCCTCTAATTTAATGTAATGTTGACTTAAATAACCTTTCCCGTATCGCCACTCCAAAAATACGACTAGCCGAATATGTGTCGATATTGTGTTGACCCGTGCGCAGCAACATTCCTTTTTTTATATACATGTATGTAATTAATATTATTTTTTTTTAATATTACAATTAAAATAATTAAATAATTATTCTTACAAATTATGAATTATCCACCCAACAGTAGAAACTACAATCAATAAAATTATGATAATTAAAACTATACTCAAAAAGAGTTAAAATAATTGTTTATTCATTTTACATATATTTTATACTCTGTATATACAACGGAAAATATTTTATAATAAATATTATTATTAATATTAGTAACTGAATTATATTATATAGTAATAAACTTTATTTATAGAATACGTCATGGCTAGGTTAGATTAGGTTATAATAATTTACATACAAAAAGTAATGATATCCCACCAAAAACATATATGTAAAATGAGAGCCAAGTTCAATACTATAATATATTAATATATGCCTTAGTTGTTGACTTCAACGACAAAAGAAGTGAGATCTAAATGGGTGCCAAGTTAGGATAATATATTGAAGCCTAAGGTCTGACTTGGCTACGAATTATATATTATAGCATTTGCATTTTGCAAGTTCTAAAGCTTTGAGTTCTTATTTTATTCTTCGGAAAATCATCTTCACTCTTCCATTACTGTTTTAGTAGGTACTTATAATAATAATTCGTATATGAAAAGTAGCCAAGTCACACCTTAGGCTTCAATATATTATCCTAACTTGGCACCCATTTAGATCTCACTTCTTTTGTCGTTAAAATCAACAACCAAGGCATATATTATAGTATTGAACTTGGCTCTCATTTTACATATATGTTTTTGGTGGGTTATTATTATATCACCATACGTCCATTTGTCCATATTAAGTATTAACTAGGTAATTATTATAATAATGCATATTACTTATTAACCTATAGGCTATAATCTATATTTATATATCATATATTATATAATGGGCGTGGTCACGGCCTTTCGCAAAGGCGGCGATACGGCATAGACCTTATACTTAACCCATAGGGCATAGAGTAAGAATATACTTAACCTAAGTATAAGGTCTATGCGATACGGCGAACAACGCCATCTCTGGAGCGTTGTATACGTTTCAATTTTACTGTTGCGCACTCTTAACTTATGAACTTACCTAGTCAATACTACGGTCTACGTTCCATAGAACGGCGTGAACAGGTTGGTGGTATTATAGTATTAATAGCTTAAAATTAGTCTAAATATGTTAATAATGTCTTTCTTTGTGTATAGAAAATAGTTATTTACTCGATGGCGAAAAGTTTTAATTCCCTAGATTATTGTCTACTGAATTACAACAATATAACTTAAATAATAATTAAAATTGTTATTTTTTGAATAGATATTGAGACACTTTTGTTAAAATTAAAATTTTTAATTACTATAAAAAAATATTACTTGCTGCTTTATACTTTTAATATTTTTAAATTGTTATAGGTACAACCATTGATTATAAATAGTATATTATAATATTATATAATAGTAGGTAATAGGTATATTATAATAGTATTTATATTTTATAATGAATATTCAATGCTTATTATCATTATTCTTACTTACGAGGAACCTTGTCAGGGTCATATTATTTATCATTAGACAATTAGACCTCCGTTATTACTTATTATAAAAAAAAAAAAATAGTGGGCCTTGGATTGTATAATTGTATGAAAAAATAATTAATCTGATAAGGATCAGAGTAAAATGTAAATTTACAGTTTACCAGTGTAAGAAGAATCCACATAATCACCTTAAGCATTTCAGGAGCATTTGTATGAAATGAATATCCATCAAACATTTCCAAACATCAAAACTATTATTTAAGGATATTTTTATCAATTCCATGTAGGTAGGTACTAAGTAGGTACTAACTTACTGTAGTAGCGAAAGGTCATTTTCTGTACTGAAGAGTGAAGAGGATTAAAACAAGATTAAGATCAACTCTAGTCTCTAATTCAAGAAATACTTGATAACTTAGGTTTACTATTAATAGAAAACGATCTTGCATCTTCTTTAAATTTTGATGACATAATAAATAAATTTTCTTTAAATAAAAAAACAAGAAATGTATAGGTATAGTATTATAAAATAACTAATTCATATTTTATAAAATAAAAAAATATAAATGTATTGTTTTTATAATTAATAATATAAAAAAAATATTTAATTTATATTATAGGTATATATGTACATATTAATTAATGGGTACAATGAATCTGCAGGGATAAAAAATGTATAACTTTGTAATTTTGTTTGTGATGATTAAGAAGTAAATTATAATTATCCATTTGTTTTATATTCAACTCATGTGTGGAGGGGGCTAGATACGCTACTATTGTGTTGACAAGGAGCCACAATTTTGACTAAATCCTCAATATGCCCAAATCAGGCGCCGAACCTTGTATTAAACTTTCAAGCATTTTGACCAAGTTTTACAATATTTATCTGCATTTATAATTACAAAAACTAAAAACTAATAAATTACAAAATTAAAAATGTATTTCTATAAATAGCTAAACAATTACCTAAAATATTTTCAAATTAAAAACCATAATTATTTATCTAAGTAATAGTGAAATGTTTCAAGTTTACCTATTAATATTTATTGAATGATTGGTCAGAGCCCAGATGTACCGTAAGAACGGGATACTTTACATATATTATACATATAAAACAACGCGAACAGATCATTTTTATCTTTGTTACTGAAGCTATAGTATGTAGGTTAATACTTTAAAAAAATAATACATTTGAAGCAAACTATCCCTCTCTTACGGTAGGTACCAAACAAAATAACAAAAAATATTTGAGAGTACAAATCGTTATTATTCTGAACTGGTGTTACGACTTGATTTTTTTTTCATCTATTCTTCTAGAAGATAATAGGCCCCACTGAACATGTCCATGTCAAGTTATAACTTCAAACCTTTATAAAAAAAATTGTGAATTTGTATTTTCATCTCAGTCACCTAGATCCTATATAGACGGCTAGACACCTATAGTGGCTATTTAGTTATGAGTTATGACGATGCCCATTCCACAGTCCATTACAGTGAAACGTAAGAAAAAGAATACTCGTATTTGACTTATCCATCAACTTTTAAAACAATATACTATATAGGTATACATAGTTTAACACTTTTCAACCGCCTCTCTAGGCCTTTCCTTCCCCACTATATGGGTGAGATACTGGGATTATGAGGGGTTAACCACATTATATGAGAACAAATGCACCTTACCATGCGCGCCCCTCACGAATTCAAAATTTTCTTTTTTTAAATACTTGTTTTTCAATGCTGATTTCGAAACTGTTTTTTTTTCTGCGGAAACCTTTATTTTGGAAGTTATAACCATCATAGTTTGCGATTTTACGTATATATGCCCAAGCGCGCGACGCTACTTGACTGCCACCCGCAGCACTATAACAAAAAAATCGAAAAATGTCCCTCGATTTGTTGTGTAAAACCTTGGGCAGGCCTCGGAATTAAACATAGTTGTTAAAAAGCACATAATCTGCTAGCGTTGCCACTCGCTCACTGCGCTGAGCTCGGGACAAAAAAAATCCCAGTGTGGGTAATCCATTAACTCCCCAAATGAGAAATAGTTGCTCCACAAAGTATATAGGTAGGACGTGGATACGTGCCTACTTAATAAATTGTATAATAATCCATCCAAACTAAACACGCATTTCTACAGACCCGTGTTCCTAATGTGAATATTACATTTTTTTCCTTTACAAATAGTCAGTTTTCAGTGTGGAACTAGAATTTAGAGTCAATTTGTGAGGTACCGACTCACCGGCGCAAAATGTTCTAATTATCATTTATTATTATGTTTTACGGATGGCCAGATCAAAAACTCGATCTCTTATCAAATTTATGGCTTCAGCTGCTGCTCGAGAAAAGTAGTTATAACAAAATAACTACCTTGTGCCCGAGTCCATGACTAAATAGCTGGTGGCTAAGTTCTGTGCACGATTTAAGATAATATAATATATAGGTAATAAAGGTAATATTCTAATGCTGCGTTCTGTGGTGCTGCAAGACCATAGAGTAATATTACTCATGTGTAGGACGGAAACAGAAGTGACGACGACGATGATGATAATTGATAATAATAATAATATTGTTGTTACTTATTTGTTATCTGTTGATTGCTTAGATAACAGATTTGTACTTAGTAATTTGTAGTTTGTTGTTCTTTGATCTTTTTAGAGCTAAGTTCTGATAATGATAAACTTATTAATTATTTACAATAATACGTCATATTATTGATTATATATATTAGTGTAGTAGTGTCTAGTAATAGTATTCACTACCTATTTATAAACAATAGACATAATATTATAAATTATTTACAAAGTAATAATTTTTTAGGCGTAAATAGATACTATAAATAAGTAAATAGTTTGTTAATGGCCTATCTACTGCGTACAATTTAATATTTATGAGATCGAGATCGACTATACACTGTTTATGTGACCCACTGGAAACCGACCACTTCCAATTTTTTTTTACGTAAACTTGTTTGCACAATAATTGGTGTTGTTTTATGACGAAAAAAATCTAGTAATAGTAATAGCAGTATAGACGTATAGTCATCCTCTCTTTCCTCACCTTCGTCACTCTGCACTCAACCATCATCGTCATCGTCGTCATTACATCATCATCATCACCGTTATCATCATTTCGTTTTAATAATATTGTCGAGGACTCTTAGGACCGGTATTTCGCAGTGTTTGCACAACATAACATTATTTTTTATTTCTCCCTCTTTATTGAACATTCTCTCAACATTCAACAATTTCATCTTGTCATAATATTATAACTCGTATCGAGTTTCTTTCAGTCCGTATTTTTTAGTTTTTTACACACATTTTACTTTATGAAATCAAAACTTCCATTTTTTAAAGGAAATAATTTGAATTTGTAAGATTTAAAACTGAACACAGTGACATTTACTGTTTAAAATACTAAAAATAAGTCCATTTATTTTTAAAACAATCATTTTATTTTTGTTCATAGGTAACGATTACAGTTTTTTAAATTAAAATGAAGCTTAAAGTCAATGAGGATCTGCGGAAGGAACGCCTAAAGTGTACATTTAACACGGAGGAACTTACAAATTTTTTGGACGGAGATGCTAATAAAACACTAAGTAGAAGAAACCTTGGTTTGTGGTTAATTAATTGTTGAATATATTAAATTAACATAGGTACTAATATTCTCATTAAAAAAAATTTATAGAATCCTTTTTTCTGTCCGATCTGAATTTGAAAGATAAAATTCCTATGGAATACCTAAGTCACAAAGAACGTTATGAAGAAGCTGTGCGTAAAAGTTGTATTTTATTCAAAAAAGTCAATGAATGGCAACAAAGTGGTGATAGTGGTAGCAATTCAATGGAGGTTTATAAGTATGAAATAAATACATATATGTAATTATGGTTTATAATTATTGATATTATTTCAGATCACTTTTAGGTGGATCAGTGGGTAGTGCAATAATTAAAGATGGTACTCCTTTTGCAGTACATTATGTCATGTTTATACCAACAATTATGGGTCAGGGCACCTTGGAGCAACAAGGAGAATGGGTTGGTCGAGCTTTTAGCAATCAGATTATAGGCACTTATGCTCAGGTATTTTGCAATTAAGGTCTTAGCTTTTCTAGTTGAAAAAAAAAATTTTTATATTTTATACAGACTGAACTCGGTCATGGAACATTTATTCGAGGCTTAGAAACAATTTGTACTTATGATCCAACTACAGAAGAATTTGTTTTGAATAGTCCTACATTAACATCGTATAAATGGTGGCCCGGTGGACGTAAGTTATTAAAATTTAATTTACCTAATTAACAGTAACCTTAAACAGTTTTAAATTTTTAGTTGGACATACCTGTAACTATGCAGTTGTGATAGCTCAACTTTACACCCAAGGAAAATGTCATGGAATCCACCCATTTATAGTTCAACTCAGAGACGAGGAAACATGGAACCCTATGCCTGGTGATAATATAATAATGAATTAAAAATTATTTAAATTATGATTTAAGTAATTACACTTTTTTTCATTACTGTGGTATCAGGCATAAAAATTGGTGAAATTGGTTGCAAATTTGGTATGAACTCAACTAATAATGGATATTTAGCATTCGATAATGTGAGAATACCCAGAAAGAATATGTTGATGAAAAATGCTCAAGTTTTGAAGGTATATTAATATTATATTATAGTTTGATTCATAGACCCATTAATATGTATACCGAACCAATGTACTTAAATATTTTGTAACTGAAAACTGAAAAGTAATTCATAAGTCATAACACTCATAACTAAGTTATAACTTTATACATGCATTAAAAAAGTGTCAAATATGATGCCAATATGCAAGGAAAAAGTGGCTAAATATGCAACCTTATGCCATATGTTATACATTACACCAAGAAAAGTAGGTACTAGATATTTTATCAGAAACAAAAAAATATTTATTTTTTATGTAACTACAATTTTAATACTTCAAAAATCAAAATACAATATTTTATAATCTTCATTTTTTCATATTACAGATTATTTAATCTCAGAAACTCTCAGAAAACTTAAAAAAACCCAGTCATCTGTAAATATTATTTATAAAAAAAAAATTTTAAAATTGAGTTACTTAACAATATTCTTCCAGGTGACTTGTCCTTTAAAATTACTAAAATGTATTTATCTTAAATTAAAATAGCTAATTTATTAAAAACCCATTAAATATGCATGTTATATACATTTATGAACAAATATGCAATAATCCTCTAAATATGTAAAATGTGCAATATAAAATGTTGTGCTTAAAATCCGTGTAATATGAACCGTGGACATTTTAAAACCCCTTAGATGTGCATCCACTTAGTACAAATATGCAAATGCATGATTCCGGGCTCTAGTCATAACTATTAGTAGTGTATATGCAGTAAAAATAAAAATAAATGTTTGATGAGAAAAAATATTTTACAATAATTATGTACCCATAATATATTAAAATGGTCTTTAAAAATTCTTAACTCAAATTGCTATTACAATTATTTATTTACTCGTTTTTTTTTTTTTTTTTTTAGGATGGTACTTATAAAAAATCAGTGAACGATAAACTAACTTACGGTACCATGATTTTTGTACGTGTAGTTATTGTTAGAGATTTAGTTACAAGTTATATATCAAAAGCTGCAATAATTGCAACTAGATATAGCTGTGTCAGAAGGCAATCAGAACTCAAACCAGGGTAAATATTAGTTATTTAACATTAATGTTAATGTAATAATTTAATTTTAATATATTTTGTTAGTGCTGGTGAACCCCAAATTTTAGATTACCAAACACAACAGTATAAAATTTTTCCAGCTATTGCCATTAGCTTAGCATACAAATTTGCTGCATCGTGGCTTTGGGATGTGTATAATGATGTTACTTCACAATTAGAACAAGGAGATTTAGAACGATTACCAGAGGTGAAATTCATTTAAATGTCATTGTATTAATCCTAATTAATAAAAAAAAAAAATCCTAATTAGTAATTTAAAATCCACTTCTTTCTAAAATACATTTTACATGTTAAATAAAACATTAATTTTGTATACTTAGTTACATGCAATGGCTTGCTGTTTGAAAGCTGTAAGTACAGCTGATGCTGCTGTTGCAGTAACAACATGCCGTTTAGCTTGCGGAGGTCATGGATATATGAATTGTAGTAATTTCCCAAATATGTATGCAATGTCATCTGCTGCTGAAACATATGAAGGAGAGAACACTGTGCTACTTTTACAAACAGCTAGGTAATGCTTTTAAGGTGTTATTAAAGATATTTGAATAAATGTATTCTATTAAATTGTAATATAAAGAATTAGTAAATTAACGGGATTTGATACCATGATTTTTTGTTTTTGTCTAACATACATGGGACATAGGATTTTAGACTGGTTCTTTGCCAATCATACCAATTGATCTAAGGAAGCAATAAGAATTCTAAAAACAGATTTGAATTTGTCGCTAAGTCTACTTAGAATTAACTTTCCCTCATTTTTGATTTTTTCATTTTAACTTCTCCAAAAATTAAAATACGACCATTTTTAAATACTCTTTATTAATATGACATTTATAGGAATTCGGGGAATAATATCACACATGTGGAAAAGTCGATTTGAAGTAGACTTGACGACAAATTCAAATCTGTTTTCAGATTTCTTATCGCTTCAATAGATCAATTGGAATGTTTGGCAAAAAATACGTCTAAAATACTGTGTAACGCATGTGTTAGACAAAAACAGAAAATCACGGTATTGAATCCCCTTAAAACAAATTACAATTTACACAATTCATTGGCATAGAATATAATTAAACTCAATCCCTATGATATGTGCTTAATTTTACTTAAGATGGTATTTTAATTAGTTTACTTACTTGGTTATTAAAAAAGCTATGTTTCATATCTTTATAACAATTAATAGTTGTTATTTGGTATTAATTAATTTCAATTTTGAAGGTATTTGATGAAAGCATGTCAAGATGCAAAATCTGGACTAAAATTAACTGAAACTGTATTATATTTAAGTAATTTTAAAAGCTTAAGACGTAGGAACTGGACCACAGATTTGGATTGTATTGGCAACGCATTCTTTCAAGTTGCTGGAAGGTAAATTTTATTTTTCAATTAATCTAAATAATTTAATATTCTAATATCATTAACCTGTTTTTAGTAAAATTGAGAATTGTTACTTTGCTATTAATCAACTAATCAATTCTGGGATGTCTCAAGAAGATGCTTGGAATGAAACCACTATAAAATTATCAAAAGCAACAGAAGTAATTTTTATTTGTTCTAATTTAACTATAGATACATGTCTACTAATGCCCGTATGCATTGTCAAGTATGTTTCACATAAGACATGTTAAACTATGCCCTTTGTGATACATACAGTAACTATGCATGTGGACATTAGAAAATCAAATTTTTTTACTGATAATATATTTTAATGAGAAATGTTAAAAAATATATTAAAGTAGTTCTGAAACTGTTTTAGTTAATTGTTATAGTCATTTTAATTATGAAGTTTACCGATTATATTTTATCTTTAACATGTGCACTATGCATAGCTGTTGGCTGCTTTTAGAAATGTTTAATTTGTTTGAATTGTTGTAAAGTATTTAAAACTATTTTAATGTTGGTATGTTGGTTCAGTATAATTTATCTGACACTTGATAAATTGATTTATAATTTTGAACAGATATATTGTGGATCAGTTTTAATACAAATTTTGGAACAAAAATTCTTAATTCATATTTCATAACAATCTTTTACAACATTTAATTATAATTTAAGTTTGATTGCATTCATGATTGATTTGTTAACTGTAAAAAGTTATTAATTTTTTTTTTTTTTGATCTTGCCCGGAATCTATGGCCATTAGCTGTTTTGGTTTTGTAGGTTTTTATGTCAGTAGGGGGAGGAACACGTGTGTGTTGGGTTTGGCAGAATTTTTGATTGGGCACCCGTAGGTATCTGCCATGCCCGGGTGGGGGATGGCGGCACTTGTTCTCCGGACACCGTGACTTGTCTGAAGAAAAATGAGAGCCGGCTCTTTAAACTGCTCGGCCACTCCATCCCCCAATAGTTATTTATTTCTATAGATTTAATAGTATGTGATAGATATGTATTATTGTACTGTGGTAATACAATTGATTAAAAAAAAGGAGGTGACTGGGCAAATCAGATTTTCAGAAACTTAAAATACTAATTAATTTACAGTTCTACCAAAAAATTTATTTAATTGTTGTTTGTTTTAGGCACATTGTAGAGCATTTGTAATACAAAGTTTTATTACAACGATTAAGACAGTACATTTGTCTTCAGAATTAATGAAAGTACTAACAGAGCTATGTAAACTAGTATGTGCTCACTGGATGCTTAATCAGATGGGTGATTTTCTTCAAGTAAATCTCATTTAATTTATTAAGTTTTGTGTTATGTAATATTGTTCTGATTTGTGAAATAAAATTATTTTTTAGTATTCAAATCTAAAACCAAGCGATGTTCCTTCTATACAGTCTCTGTTAGAAGAATGTTTGAAACGAATTAGACCCAATGCAGTTGGTTTGGTTGATAGTTTTGATGTTCGAGATGAAATACTGGGATCTGCTTTAGGAGTTTACGATGGAAATGTCTACGAGCGTCTAATAGAAGACGCAAATAAAAGTCCATTGAATCAAGAGCCTGTTAACGAATCTTTTCATAAGTATTTAAAACCTTATTTAAAATCAAATTTATAAGCATAAACATCAAAATTCATCATAGTACTCATTTACATAAGAAAATTCAAAATGTGTGACTAATTATACATTTTAATGCAATACTGATACTTTTATCTAGAATCTGTTATTACGATGTTGTTATGTAGTAAAGGTTAATTGTGTAAGTGGGTGGCTAAAGTTTAGGTGAATTAATTATTTTAAGTGATTAAATTAAATGAGTTTTATTTTATATTATTACAATTATGTATTTTATATATATATATATATTTATAAATTATAATTATATTATGGTGAATATTATTGTATACAACTGAATCGAAATGTAAATGGATTTGCCAAATTATCCTTTATTGTTTATTAGTTTTTTTATACTTTATACATTATTTTGAAAATAAATAAATTCTATTACAATATTTTACATATTTATGAGTTTATGACCTACATCTTTAAAATAAAAATGTATAAATACACGTTTTATGATATTGGAATATCACCAATCAATAATAATTTGTTCTTAAATAATATTATAATCTAATATGAGCACAAATTGCAAACAAAAGAAGATGAATTATTAACCTATTTTTTGGAATTAAAACCACCAAATAGAATAAAAAACATTATGTAATTTAAGTGCTGTGGAGTCTCCCTTGCAGTAAAACATCTTCTAACTAAATGTAGAATATTTAAAAGAAAATAGGATAGAAGAAAATTACAAATATTGATCACCTAGCCAAAATACTTAACCTTGAACCCAAGAACGTCTCCCAGCTCATCCAGTTCCTATTGGAAACTCACCTAATCCATAAATTGTAATCCTGCTGAGCAATATAACATCAGCACCTGACATAATTATTATTATTCACTATTACAGTATGTAATATTTAATATTTAAATTTATTGTTTTTCATTATTTGTTATACTTTAAAAATGTCAGTTTGTTACTATCATTAAGTAATTATGTAACAATAAGTTCAATGGCCACAGATTCAAAAATATATCTGGGGGAAAATGTCTGCAATTCATTCTGCAGACAGTTTGCTTAGAAAAAAAAAATATTCAAGATTAAGGAGTCACGAACTCTAATAAAATCCATGATTTATGAATGTCAACTAGGTAATGGCTAATGAGAATAGATATACTATAATAATGTATATATATTTTGATTTACAAACTAATTTACCAACTAGGTCAAATGTAACAAAATAATTGTTTGCAAGCTTAAAATTATTTAAAATTTTTCAAAAATACTGATTGATTAGAACATTATCATTCAACTAGGAAATACCCACACCAATAAGAGTATTAAATATTTGAGGAGACTCTTACTTCATAAATTGCCTGGGTATAATTTGTAGATAACTAGTGTATACATAGTTGTTAAAATATATTTATATTCATTTTTAATCAAACATTTTTTAGCCTTAGATTATTTTGTATAAATATTATATATATATATATATATAACTATATAATATATACTTACATTTACAGGTTACCTATATACATAACTATATGAATTGTTATAAAATTATGAATTAATATAAATATTTATTTATAGTTTCATTTATAATTATATACATATTATATTCATTTATAATTATATACATTACACACTGTAAGTATGAAATTTTCATTATGGGCCACCTAGACCCCAGGGACATCGAAATCTTCTTTGCCCTAAGCCGCTTAAAGTTTAAATCCGGCCTTGCCTATATATTTACAAATGTACAGTGTATAATATATACACACCTACAATTATGTCTAACTTAAATGTTGGATGTTTTCAATTAATATTATAATTGAATGAGTTTATTTAATAATTAATAATTAATATAATATATATTTATGATGTCATACCTATATATAATAATTTATAATGTATTTCAAAAATTTTTCAAAAATTTAGGTACCAACAACTACAATAATAAATATATAATTTTTAAAACTTGTCATATTATTATAACATAAAAATATATTCTAACTGATCAGGTATAGATGGGGCCTGGGAGGTATATCAGGTATAGTTCTGTGGGTATAGGTCGTAGGTACGATGATGTGCATTGTGCTTTTATTATTTTTTGTGTGTGTCTGCAGTGGCGTATTTAGGATTTTGCTGCCCTTGGTAAACATTTTTTTTTAATACCCTCTCCTCCCCACCTCGGTTTTTTTATAGTGGCAATTTATTTAGCTTATGGTTTTTGGTTACATGCATTCCAAAAATATTATAATATGATAACATACAGATTACAGAGTACAAAGTGAGTCTTATAACCGAAAGAACCTAATAGGCGAAGTTGGAAAAAACAAAATATTTATGCATTTTTTTACGACATATTTTGTTTTATTTTAATCTACTTAAATACATACATATTATATACCTATTACTTATTATTTATTAGTGACTAAACGAAAAAAATATGATTAAAAATTATAATTATATTATTATACAAAATATTACGTACATACCTATTAATAAAAAATTATAAATTATGTATTTACGTACTTATTATTTATGAAAAAAATTTGAAATACCTGTGCCGAGTAATCGAGTGTATTTATAACTTATACAGTAATTGCGATAAATGTGAAATTCGATAAAATGTGTTGTATACTTGTACCTATATACACACATTATTAAGCATGAATCGAAACCAGTAATAATCTACAAAAATATGTAACTGTTAAAAACCAATTTATATCAAAATTTTCATTTTCTACTATTTTTTTACAAAATTTGAGTCTTATAAACGAAAAATAAATTTTTATAATGTATGTGGATACGTCCGGACCGTTCCAGACGACTTTGAGTCTATAAAGCGACTGAACCTTATATCCGTGAGTCTTGTAATCGGCGTCCACTGTATATATTATATAAAAATTGAATCCAAAGTCCAAACTAATGTATAGTAGGTACTTATAGTCGACTAACTAAATTATTTTGGTTAGAATTTATCTGAGTATCAAAGGTAGTTAACCTTATACTAAATGTTAATGTATTGATTCAGTAACTAATATAAATCTTTAATAGAATCATATTATTACTTTCAATTTTTAAAAAATGTGATTTTGTATTTATGTGATGGTAATAAATAATAATATGTATGTGAGATGTAGCCAATGGCCGTATTTTATTACTACTTTTGAATTTATGACGCATAAAACTATAAAAAAAAAAACAGTTTTAAATAATATCTAAAATCAGATCATAGAATTCGGTTAGTATAATAATTAATATTGTATAATATGAAAAAAATTATAAATCAGCTATAATTAGGTACTTACATAATACATTAATGTTAAAGCACTACGAGTGCACTGCGGTAGTGATCATCGAAACGTCGATATAATAATAGGAACATAATATTATTATGTTGTAATAGACAAAATTCTAATTGTTTTCAAAAGCTTCACTTTCTCTAAAAAATCGGACTTTTGCTATAGGCAGCAGCTAAATACGATGTGTCATATTTTATAGGTATTTTCTAATTACCTATTAGAATCTAATATGCTTGACCTTTGAATTGTGATCTAATATTACATAATATACCTACGCGTGTAGGCTTGACTCATGGAGTCGTAAAGTCATGACCGATTCGCTGTGGTAGCTATTTCATTAATATTTCTAGTCAAATAAAATACATTATAATAATATATACATGAAATAAAATATGCACGACTGAGAGAAGTCTAGAACATTTCACCAAATTTTATACGACAGCCAGTGGAATAATAATCGATCACCCGCGAGATCTAAAAGCGATTATGTAAAAGCTAACATTCTGATTTAATGTCTCCGAGCATTTTTACCTTTCTAGCCTCTTCCTCTATAATTACATGCTGTACAATATGATTGTACCTAATTAAATTTTATTATTACTACGCTCATTACATATTCACTATTCATAATATGTGTGACGATTGACCCTCCGTCAAAATAACATACCCAATAATAATATATCCATCTCATTTCCTTTCGCCATTTATACACCAATATATAATATATACAATAATTATCGAACCAGGATGTCACTCGCCAGTTCGACACCGTTTTGTCGGTTACTTGTTCGGTAGGGTAACCTACCTGTATAATATTATTATGAATTATTATGATATTGAATGCGATCGATTCTAAGAGCATTGCCCATGCAATATAAATAGAATATTATACATAATACATGCATGACGTATACGCGTCTTACCCGGGTTATCGACTGTTAATTCACAATTTACTTGTTTAGTTGAAACAAAAAAACGCTACAACAGGCGTAGGTACGTAAATAATTTCTGATCAGAATGCTTAAAAATTACAACGAAGACCGTACGCATATTATAGACAATAAGATGGCCGAGCTGCAAACCGTCAACGAAGATTTGCGCAATGAACGGACGAAGTGCACCTTCAACCAGGAGGAGCTGACGAATTTCATTGACGGCGGCGCGGAGAATACCGACATGAGACGAAATATCGGTACCTATCTATATAATATTATATATTTATATACTATACATCCTCATAATATATTTTATGTTACAAATATGTACCTACCTATATAGACAATATTTCTCGTCAAAGAATTTTGAAATACTAATAATATACTAATAATCTATATATATAAAAACGAATGTATGTGTGTGTGTCCATATTACCATGGCAACCATATCTGTATATATAAAACAGTAAGCTGATTGACTGCTATCAACGCACAGCTCAAACCATTGGACGGATCTGGCTGAAATTTGGCATACAGATAGCTATTATGATGTAGACGTGCGCTAAGAAAGGATTTGCCAAAATTCGCATTTTAAATAGGTGCTCAAACAGGGACATTGAGATTCACGATAGAAATTGGAAATTTTATTTTTATTTATTTATAGTTGCCATTGGTTACAGTCTACATTAGAAATTAGCATTTATTTATTGGTTGCCATTGGTTATTCGGACAGATCAGGTACAAGCTTGCATCAAATCGAATTATTGAACATTGTCTACCAGGGTGGCTGAGTTGCACTTATATCGCAGCAAGTTACACCCAAAAGGAGTTCAACAATCATAATTTTTTTAAGAGTTGCGATTTTTTACGAGCAACCAAATTTGTTATATTAATCCACAGTGTTATATCAAAATAAACTTGGTATAACTTTGATACTTTAGAGTTAAATCATACACTTCCGTACAAACAGCACGGGGTCCGCGATCTACCGCAGGTAGATTGCCTACCTGATAATGTACTGCTGCGATTCAGAATTTTTATTCCGGGCAACGGAAAAGATAAGATAAATTTTGAACACCATACACCGAATATTGAATAATGAATTGAACAAAGTTTGAGTCATATTGAGTTGATATATTTAACGGGCGACGAAGTGCACGGGATCAGCTAGTATAAAATAAAAGCATTTCAAAAATAGCGATTAATAGTAATAGCCAATATAATAGGGGATAGTACCTATACCTACGACCTACCTACCTATAATCAGAGTAGGGCGTTATTCGAATAATTTTAAAACATTATTATTCAAGTAAAAAATTATTCGAATAATTTTCGTTCATTTTGTTTGGGTAAACATAGAGTTGGTAATTTAAAATAGGCACATATTGTGTAGAGCTCTAAATATGAGGTACAACATACATAGAATAATATATAATATTATATTTATATACGAATATACGATCATAGCTACATGTCTATGTTCAATAACTAAATGGTATTTGGGCATATGACATGTGAATGTGCTAATGCCTAATATTCAATAGAGTAAAACAATATTGTAGTGTGCCGTGCAAAACACGCTACAGCTATAATAGTAATACATATCAATCAAACGTTTGATTATTAAATTATTAAAAAAACTAATTTAATTTAATATATAACAGAATAATTATTGCTATTATCAACTAGAAGACAAATTAAGTTATTCTACCCAACACCAAAAAATCTGTGACTATAGTACTGAAACCGGACTATACTATATGTCTATATACAATAATAACGTCTTCAATATTGATAAATAATTACCATTAAGGTACATACTAAATACATGTAGACAAACTAGAAGAATTATAATACATAATATTTAGTACTAGTATAACTATGTTTGAAAATTATTCAAATAATATTATGATCGCAAATTATTCGAATAATTTTTTATTCGAATAATTGTAAAAAGGTCATTTGAATAATTTTTTATTCGAATACATATTTATTCGAATAATTATCTAGGTACAATTTTGCCCAACTCTGCCTATAATTCAAATAACAATGTGTAGGCATGATAAAAAGTTTGAATTTATTTATTTATTATCATTAATGATCAGTATTGATCACAATAGTATTAGAACCGTGGCATTTTGAATTACATAATACATTTTATAATTTAGATACATATTTTGGTACTTCTCTTCGTGTAACTTGCATTATTAGAGTTTTACAAGAAAACAAAAGGAAACCTTGGTCCCCTGCAGATAGTGATAGTCTTTAGCCCCCCCCCCCCATCAACCATAGTTGCTCCTCTGTACATGGACCCTATATATTCGATCGCACACCCACCAATATGTACCAAGTTGCTCTAGTCCATTGGTTGCACCCATGAACCAAATACCAAACTAAGTCTCCAATTCACTAAATATTAATCTTCTATTTTGGCAAGCATATATTTATTATAATTTATAATACCAGCGTGTATGCGTGTGTGATTTTTAGCGAATTTTTTCTTCAGCGAACCACGATTTAAGGACGAAGTGCCTGTGGAGTACCTAAGCCACCAAGAACATTACGAACAGTCAATTAGGAAAGCTTGCATTTTTTACGAGAAGATGAAAGAATGGGAGGAGATTTCAAATAGCAACACGATGGAAATTTACACGTGCGTTTGAATTGTATTTAAACCTATTAAATCAGTGTTTAATAACCTTTTTGCTATGGCCACCTAAACATTTTCTCTTTGTTGGGTATGCGACCCTCGAAAAAAAAATCAAGTATGCCATAAATAAATAATATATTTTATTATAATCAATTTTATCATTTATTTATTTGATAATCATAATACAATAATAAAAAAGTTACTAAAAATATATTGTTATCCAATTTAACACTGATGTCATACCAGTGGCAGTGGCGTAGCCAGGATTTTTTTTCAAGGGGGGCTGATAAACTTTTACACTTTTACATACGTACTAGCACAGATAGATAGCTGAAAAGTGTTAATACTTATAGTAGGTACATTTTTAAATATTTTAAATATAATTTTTTCTGTCTTCTTGTACAATTCCCGATAATCCTAGAAGAAGACTGAAACGATCTTGGCCTAGAGATATCCTTGCTTGATCTGTCGGGTGGTACTACTGAGTACCTTCCCTCTCTGAAATTCAACGCTATTGTCCATCAAAAAAATTACTTATTGTACATATGTTTGTATAGATTGTAATTATTCTTTTAATAAAATAAAAAAAATAAAAAAAAATAAAAATATATAATTTAAGAGATAAGACTTTTTGAGCGACTATCATATACCATTAAAATCATTTTTTAATTTTCTTAACATTTCGGGGGAGGAGGCTGCATCCCACTCAGCTCCTCCCCTGGCTACTCCAGTGTGTCATACATTCTACAATACTAGTTCGACTTCACATTATTTGCAGTTTTAAAAAGTAAAAAAAATATAACAAACATTTACCTATTGGGTGTATATTATTTACGTATAGGTACAGCTAATTCATTAAATTATTGAATAAAAAAATTATTTTAGACCCTTATTTAAATGATTTTTTTTTTCAAAAATAATTTTACCAATAATATGAAAAACTTATAATGACTACACAAATAGAAGATGCATTCACAGCCAAAAGAAAATAATATTATTGTTTTTTATTGGTAAAACTAATGATTATCCACTACCTTGATTTGATAAAATAGATAGGTCTTGAAATTAAAATTATAAAATATAAGACATTTATTTCTCGAGTTTAACAAAATATTCCAAGATATGCAAAAAATTCAAATATTCCTCTACCCTTGATATATTGTCAAATATTACAAAAAACTTGTCAGTGTAAATTCTGTGTTCAGAAAATCGTTCAATCGACAATCGTCCACTTTTCCTTTTATAAAACTTCATAATAACCAATAGGCTCAGAAATGATATGCAAAAACTCAAAAATCTAGACCCTAGCTGACAAATCAGATATAATGGATGACATAAATGTTTATTACAATTTTTTTTTTTTAATTAGTGTGATATGGACTAGTGGAATAGATACAGCTATATTAAAACAAAGTATACCTTTTGCCGTTCATACTATTATGTTTTTGCCATCTCTAATTAGTCAAGGCACTCAGGAACAGAAAGAAGAATGGGTTGAACGTGCATTTAAATATACAATTTTGGGTACTTATGCTCAGGTAATATTATGCTATAATTATTTAAATAATTAATAAAAATATGTTTTCAGTTTTTACTTTCCATTTAGCTCTTACCATTGTTCAAAATCAGTATAGCCAATATAAGTAGGTAATACAAATTTTATGGAATGGGTTACCATTGTTTTACTTAGTAAATTCCTATTTCGATCTTCTAGCTGATTTAGCTGATTAATAATACTAGTCTACATTCATACCTTAGACGTTTCTTTAATATAATATCAAGTTTCAGATTTCAGACTTGCTTTTATATAATATAGCTAGAAAGAAAATGTATTTATTTTCCTGCACCTTTATAGATTATTTTTCCACATGTGAAATAATTCACTTCATAAACTTTTCACTAGAACAAAATATGAGAGACTTTTAGAGTTTTATACTTTGATCTTTTTTTTTTTATTTGCTTCTAAGCTATAACTATTATAGAATTAATTTGATCTTTATGTAGGTAGGTATATCGCATATTCACATGTAATTTTTTACTATATAATATTATGTCTTTAAATATTATAAATTATAATATAAGTGGCAAATGGATTATGTTTATTGTGTTAAACAAAAAAAAAAATGTTTATGTTATAAAGACTATAAACTGAATGTGAATATTTTAAATTTAGACTGAACTTGGACATGGAACTTTTATTCGGGGGTTAGAAACAACGTGCACTTACGATGCGGATAACGAAGAGTTTATTTTAAATAGCCCGACATTGACATCGTACAAATGGTGGCCCGGCGGACGTATGTCTTAAAAAAAATATTTATTTCTATACTTATAATCTATAATATTGTATTAAAATTAATTTAAGTTGGACACAGTTGTAACTACGCAATTGTTCTCGCTCAACTTTACACTCAAGGTATAAATCGTGGGATACACCCATTCATTGTTCAATTAAGGGATTCAGAAACATGGATGCCCATGCCTGGTATGATAATATTGATATTTAATCGAAGCCCAATCGGATTATATTATTGTAGTTATCAAATGTATTAACAAATTAAATTATTATATTATACTAGGAATATGTCGAAAGCAATATTTGTAATACTGACATATATGGGTTATTATATATGTCCAAACAAATATAATTCATCATGATTATCAACATGTTAATAAATAATAACTCTTTATTTTTAATATATTTTCAAAATTAAAATCAGGAATCAAAATTGGTGAAATCGGCAGTAAAATGGGAATGAACTCTGCGAACAATGGATACTTGGCTTTTAATAACGTTAAACTACCTCGAATGAACATGTTGATGAAAAATTCTAAAGTTCATAAGGTTACTTTAAATTAAATACTTACTTAATATATCCTTAAAGCTTCCAATGGACTATTTAAAATCCTCAATTCCTTCTATTGCAATGGTATCATTACTAGTTCGTGGAAACTGTGTACTCATTACGTCGTTCCTATATTTAACACACCTCCTCCCTTTATATAGACTGGTAGCACAATCATCGGTTTTCTGTAAGCCGGTGGTATCTATCGTCAAAAATAGTCTTTACTGGTTTAATGAAAAACGACCAACTATTGATATGAATCCAATCTAACTTTATTTATACTCTCCTTACTATCTAACTTCTGTACGCAGATGACATTGTAATCTTGACCTCTCACAAATCTCTAGATGAATTTATTTGGTACATTAAAAGATACCCTAAGAATGTTCACATAGGTACACATTACGAGTGATTTATTTTATGTTATGGGTTTTATGGCTCTTGAAAAAAGTTCCTTAATCATTTTTACTCGAAATCATATGAGTTCTTTACTTCACATTGTTTTGGACAATAAACTCGTTCTGGTAATTTCTCCTTCCTTATGTTACGTATATAGGCTAACTTTACTTAAATTATCTTTCAAGCATTATTTCACGCCGACTAACTTTTGCCTGACTTCGGCTGGTTAAAATTGGGGCTTTCGTCCTTCAGCTTCACTGTTAATCTTTGAAATTCCTTCCTTCTTTCTCTTAATTCTTACTCATCCCTTTTCTTTCTTCACCACGAGAATACTATTTGAGATTTTGAACATATTCTCTGTCTTTGCCTATCCTCTCGTAGAACAACCATATTCTCTCTCTCTCGCCAGCCTTCTACGTGGTTAGACCTCTTTTAATATTCAACTTATCCTAACTTCTCGCTCTCTTCCCTTTATCACCAATATTATTTTCTTCACTAAATCATCTGACTTCCTTATTTAATGACTATTATAAATAAAGCGTGGATTTGTATGCATTTTCATATTTATTTTGGTTGACCGTATGATATAGCATATGCTAAGTGAACACTGAATTTGTTGTTTCATGAGATAACAATTTAACTATGAAACTCTTATGGTGCATATTTTGAGGTCCATTTCAATGGCCCCCCCACTTACGAAATTTGAACTTCTGACCACGCCAAACTTTTGTGCATCGTTTGTGCAGAAATGTGCACCAGGTCCCGACGTTTGTGCACAAAAGCTGAAAGCTCTATCCCAAAAACAAAATGGGGGGGCCATTGAAACGGTAGCCCCCCACATTGAATATTTGGATTTTTGAAGGTGCCAAACGTTTGTGCATCGTTTGTGCAGAAATGTGCAACAGGTCCCGACGTTTGTGCACAAAAACTCCCAGCGCTATCCCAAAAACAAAGTGGGGGGGCCATTGAAACGAGACACCCCCTTTTTGGAAAATTACAATTTTTAAAAGGCCAAACGTTTGTGCATCGTTTGTGCAGAAATGTGCAACACGTCCCGACGTCTGTGCACAAAAACTCCCAGCGCTATCCAAAAAACAAAGTGGGGGGGCCATTGAAACGAGACACCCCCTTTTTGGAAAATTAAAATTTTTAAAGGGCCAAACGTTTGTGCATCGTTTGTACAGAAATGTGCACCAGGTCCCGACGTTTGTGCACAAAAACTCCCAGCGTTATCCCAAAAACAAAGTGGGGGGCCATTGAAACGGGACATCCCCCTTTTGGAAAATTACAATTTTTAAAAGGCCAAAAGTTTGTGCATCGTTTGTGCAGAAAGGTGCACCAGATCTCGACGTTTGTGCACAAAAACTCCCAGCGCTATCCCAAAAATAAAGTGGCGGGGGCATTGAAACGAGACACTCCCTTTTTTGAATTTTTTTTTATTTTTTTTATAATAATAATTTCATTTAGGTACCTAATAGGTTTGATACAATTTTATCTTAAATCGTGGGCTGGAACTGATTTACAGATTTTAATAACAGCAAGACATAAATTTCCAGCATAAAAAAAATTTAAAAATTAAATTCCAGCGTTTCCAACATACTAATGCAAAAATCTTAATTTAAAATATCTAAAAACATAACTACTGCTTATAAATTATAACTTCAGGTTAGCAATACTAACTTAAAAATAAAAAGTTATAAGAAGCATATAAATTAATATAATAATTGCATAAGTTGTTTACAACCGACCATTAGTATCTGATGATACTTATTAGTTGTAACATCTAATAATACATGTTTTGGGTATAAAATTTAATTTTACACATTTAATGTAATTCTGATTGTATCAAATTTGTAATATTTGTGATTTTAGACGGCTTATTATGCATAGAATACTATTACCACGACACCACACTCATTTATAGACCATACTTAAAAATATTTTTAATATCACAAAAATATTGAGTAATTATAATGCCACATTGCCACACGTGTAGAACAAATTTTAAATGTATCCTTACTACAGATTTTGTACTGTTACTCAAATAAACATTATTATTTATAATATGTAATTATATTATACCCACTCAGGCACTCAGCACTCAATATTTTATAATTGGCAAGAAAACATACATTTTCACCACTAAACACATTATCTTTCTTGAATTACTGTTAGAAGCAATCATAAAAAATTTAAAATAAACAAAGAGTTTATAGTTTAAGTTAAATTTATTAAAAAATATTAAAGATATTATCGATTTATTGTGTTAAATTAACAAAATTATTTTAATACTATATTAATTAAACAAACAAATCTGAATTCTTTCAGTAGGTACACACTACACACTATACTATATTAATAACTATCATGCACAGAATTAGAACTTTTTTGCCATGTGTTCTGAGTGATTCAGATACATTTTGTTCACGAACAAATAACAATGCCACAACAGACTATTTTTTTCATAAGCTACAGTGATTACTTAGATAAATAATTTAATTAAGATCAAGAACTTGTAGTACACATTTATTTTTTTAAAACACTCAGTATTTTTTTATCATACTATAAGAAATTATTATTCCTTATACTATGGTTTTAATTTTTATATTCTAAGTTCTAAATGGATATTATATAATATTATGAAAGTTTGATTAATTAACAATGTTTAAATAATACTTCCTATATGGCTAAATAAGGTTTTTTTCATGTAAATAAGGAAATATTTTAACACAGAGTTTAAACGACTACATTAACAATGAAGTACAAATTTGACAATTTTATTTTAAATGTTATTAAATATTCAAATTAACTCTGTGAACAAATAATTTATCCAAGAGGTCTTATTTGTTGACTATAATAAACAAAAGAAAACAAATAAATAAATCTAAGTCATGTAAATATATTATAACTTATAATTGTAACATAAGTACATAACTTTATCCATATATACACTATAATATTATATTATATTCTGTATTCTGGAACACAGTAGTTAAATTATTATTTAAATCTATTAGAATGTTAGTTTAACAATTAATAGAATACTTACTAAAAAAATACTTTTTAAGAATATTCAAATACAGATACCTGTTTTGAAAAGTATGTAAAAAATGAGTATTCAAATAGTTAAAAATTATTTGAATACTATTGCTCAAGTACCTAGGTACCTACTTTATGAGATCTTATCATAGCTGATCTGAGTTCCAAAAATTAACTTTAGATTTAAAGTTTTTTTTTAAATAACACTTAAAATCATAACTTCTTCAAAATTAGTCACATCGACTTGAAGTCTTCAAGATACAACGCAGTCAAGCCTTTTAAATTGTTTGATATGTATTTCAAATTCGTATTATATCGAAAACCTAAATCATACGTACGTGTCTCCAGCCCCCCCACATTAGAATTTTCCAATTTTTTTTTGGCAAATAATTAGCATGTAATTAGCATGAATTTGCACGACAGACCCCGAAATTCGCACGTGTCTGGTATGCGAGCAAAATCCGTTCGACTATTTCGCGGATCTCGCCAGCATAGCCCAAAATGGAAATTTTGCGAAAATCAAAAAACTATATTAAGCTATATTTAGTACGCAATTCGCACGTATTCTCAAGCCTGGTTTTAAAATTCGCACGACCCTCTTTCCCCCTCCAAAAAAAAATTCATAGGGGGGAGGGGGGCAGCAATACGTCGTATATTAAATATACATTTTTTTAATGAAAATACATTTTTATTCGAATAAGCTTTTTTTGTTAATTTTATATTTTTATTCATATTACATTTAATCAAATTAATTTTTTTGTTACATACAGTATTTTATTTTGAATTATGATTTTTATTGAAATTTTTTTTATAAATATCAAATATAGATCGTGTCGGGGTGCCATTTTTTTATATCCAATAATATAAATCTTATTTGAATAAAAAAGCTAGGTTTAATAGAAGAATATCAATATTTTATAAAAAAAATTGAATTTTAATATAAATGCAATTTGAATAAAATAAATAAAATTAATAAATAAAAAAAATAAAAATCCTAAGTCATTAAAACAAATCTATATTTTAAAAAAAAATTAATTTGAAAAAAAATTTAATTTGAATAAAATCCATTAAAAAAAACTGTATGTAATAAAAAAATGTAATTTTAATAAAATATAATAAATTAAAAATATTCAAAATAAAAAAGCCCAAGTAATTAAAAACTATATTAAATATAAAAATTTACTTTTATTATAAATGTTGTTTGAATAAAAAATATTAAATTAATAAAAAAATTCAAATTAAAAAACCCAAGTAATTAAACAACCCTATATTTATTAAAAAAATCTAATTCGTAAAATATACCCCATGAAAATAAAAAAAATAGTTGAATGAATTAATAAAAACTTTATCGGAAAAAAATTCCTAGTTGAATAAAAAATCTATTTCTTTGTAAAAATATACCCAATGAAAATAAAAAAATCATGAATTAATAAATTAAATCTCAATCAGGCAAAAACCACCTAGTTAATTAAAAAAATATATTTTTCTATTTAAGTTTTTTTTTTTTAAAATAGATTTTTATTCAGCATAAATTGTTTATTTAAATTCAATATTTTTTTATTTAATATAGCATTTTAGTCCGATTTTTATTTAAAAATGACATTAGAATTTTCCAATTTTTTTTTGCAAATAATATTTGCAAAGTATTTTCATGCGTTTTAATTAGGTGAGGTATCAAAAATAAGTGGGGGAGGGGGGCTGTAGTCACGTGTCACCTTTTGGGGTAGTAAAAATACTTCACCGTATATTTTTTTAAAGGAAAGTAAACCTATAGTTGTTATCAAAAGATGGAAATTAAGGAAAAAGAAATCTTATAAAAAGCCTAGTTGAATAAAAAATCTAAATAGAAAAAAAAATGTACTTCAAATAAAAAAGCCAATAACATGTATAACATTATTTAAATGAAAATTGTAATTATTGTTAGAATTTTTTATTAGACGCTTATTATTAAATATATATCTTTTTAATTAATTAAGCTTTTTTCATTCAAATTGGACTGTATTTCATAAATGTTATAATATGTATTATGTTTTTCAATAATTTTATTTTATATTATTTAAATTGTTTGTGTTTTATCATTATCATAAATAATATTTATTAATTTTAGATATATACCTATTATTTTAATTAAGGCAATAGGAAGCAGTGATTTCCTGTCTTTGTCTAACACACGTGGAACATACCTATACGCCAGACAAAAATTAAGGGACTTCTGTTAGATTTAAAATATGTAAAGATGTTTGAATTGGTATACATGATTACTTTACATCGGTCGAAGCACTTTTTCAACTGTAGCAATATTTTGATAACAATAAATATTTGGAATTTTATAAATTCATAAATTTTTATATAAAAAAATATTAAAAATATGGGGCTTCGACCGATGCAAGGTAAACTTGTATACCAATTCAAAAATCTTTACATATTTTAAATCGAACTACTATAAGTACCTTAATTTTTGTCAGACGTATAGCTATTTTTCCTACGTTCCACGTGTGATAGACAAAGACAGGAAATCACAAATTCTAATCCCCTTAATCATTTTTAGAAATTTTTTTTAGTTATTTTTATAAATAAATTTTAATAAAAAAACATAATAATATTATTTTATTAATAAATACCATAATATTTTTTGTATTAATTTGTGTTTATTAATTATTAATATATAAGTTAATTTTTTTTTGAAAACAAATCAGAAAAATGAGTATTGCGAAGCAACCGATTCCGATAGAGTTACGGGGTCTGTCGTGCAAATTCATGCTAATTGCATGCTAAATATTGGCGTAAAAAAAAATTTGAAAATAAGTTTTTGTGATGTGTAGGGGGTCGAAGACACGTGTCTACAACCCCCCACCTATTTTTTGTTACCACGCCTAAACAAAACGCATGCAAATTACAAAAATTAGCATGCAAATACATGCTAATTGCATGCTAATTATTTGCCAAAAAAAAATTGGAAAATTCTAATGTGGGGGGGGGCTGGAGACACGTACGTCTAAATCATTCAATATTGGTCGTATCGACTTTATATCTTTAAGATTCAACGCAGTCAAGCCTCGAGATCAAATTTATTTTCTCAAAAATATCGCGTATCAATCTTATGATTGACAAAAGAAAATTTCCAGCCAAATTTATTTTTGAATAATTCAAATTTTAAACACATTTTTTAATTTGTCGTGGACTCAAACCAGAAAACCCAACCAATTATACCAACATCCCCTACTAATTATACTAATGGCGATCCCAATATAAAAATTAATTTGTGTATTCTATGAAAAATATTTATTCCCATATTCAAATATTATTGTATAATTCAAAAAACTTTCAAATCAAAATTTTTGAAAAATAAAAACTGATCCCACTGCAGAATACCACCGAGATAAACTCTCAGTTAGTTTAGGATAGGTTAACCCAGGAATATTTAAAACACAATATTATTCATAATATTATAATACAATATTCAAATATAATATATTATTAACCTATTGCCCTACTATTTCTAGACGTTTACATGGCAATGGTAAAATTGTATTAAACCTATTAGGTACCTAAATGAAATTTATTAATATGAAAAATATTTTAAAATTTCAAAAAAGGGAGTGTCTCGTTTCAATGCCCCCCCCACTTTATTTTTGGGATAGCGCTGGGAGTTATTGTGCACAAACGTCGGGACCTGGTGCACATTTCTGCACAAACGATGCACAAACGTTTGGCCTTTTAAAAATTGTAATTTTCCAAAACGGGGATGTCCCGTTTCAATGGCCCCCTCACTTTGTTTTTGGGATAACGCTGGGAGTTTTTGTGCACAAACGTCGAGATCTGGTGCACCTTTCTGCACAAACGATGCACAAACTTTTGGCCTTTTAAAAATTGTAATTTTCCAAAACGGGGATGTCCCGTTTCAATGGCCCCCCCACTTTGTTTTTGGGATAGCGCTGGGAGTTTTTGTGCACAAACGTCGGGAACTGGTGCACATTTCTGCACAAACGATGCACAAACGTTTGGCCCTTTAAAAATTTTAATTTTCCAAAAAGGGGGTGTCTCGTTTCAATGGCCCCCCCACTTTGTTTTTTGGATAGCGCTGGGAGTTTTTGTGCACAAACGTCGGGACCTGGTGCACATTTCTGCACAAACGATGCACAAACGTTTGGCCTTTTAAAAATTGTAATTTTCCAAAAAGGGGGTGTCTCGTTTCAATGGCCCCCCCACTTTGTTTTTGGGATAGCGCTGGGAGTTTTTGTGCACAAACGTCGGGACGTGTTGCACATTTCTGCACAAACGATGCACAAACGTTTGGCACCTTCAAAAATCCAAATATTCAATGTGGGGGGGCTACCGTTTCAATGGCCCCCCCATTTTGTTTTTGGGATAGAGCTTTCAGTTTTTGTGCACAAACGTCGGGACCTGGTGCACATTTCTGCACAAACGATGCACAAAAGTTTGGCGTGGTCAGAAGTTCAAATTTCAAAAGTGGGGGGGCCATTGAAATGGACCACATATTTTGATAATACCCATTCATTTTTTATTTTACGATTTAATTGCATATTTCATCTTTCAGTGCAAATATTGGTGTTTTTTAAGGATTTAAACTTGTAATACATTTTAGTGCATTATATATTTATATGCATAAAGATTTTTAGCACATATTTGGTTGGTTTTTAATGCATACAAACCCACGCTCTAATTATAAATTATAAAATTTGAGACCATGTTTTCGTTGTTATTTGATGTGTTATAATGATTAATAAAGAAAAAAAAACTATCAAACACAATATTCTTTATTGTTTATCTAGGATGGAACTTATGAAAAATCACCTCATGAAAAATTAACATACGGCACAATGATTCTTGTAAGGGTATTAATTGTTAAAAGTCTAGTAACTAGCTATTTAATGAAATCAGCAACAATTGCTATAAGATATAGCGCGATTCGCCGGCAATCGGAACTGAGACCCGGGTAATTTGATTAATTGTACATTTATTCAATATTTGAAAAGATCAATATTATATTTAATTAATAAACATGTGGATTTGTGTGGTGTGTGTGTGTGTGTGTTTATACAACAAAACAGTGAACGAGAACCTCAAATTTTAGATTACCAAACACAACAGCACAAGTTGTTCCCAGTTATCGCCTCAAGTTTAGTGTACAAATTTGCAGCAAAATGGTTATGGGATAAATACTCTGCAGTAACATCGCAATTAGAACGAGGTGATTTAGATCAATTGCCGGAGGTAAACTGTTCATAACAATTTGTATTTTCAATTTTAATTAATTTTTACTACGTACCTATTATATTATTTATAAGTTTATAACACATTTTATAAGAAATACAAATATTCTAACATTTGGGAATTAATGGAACGATAAAATTTCAATCAAAAAATGTATGTCAATATACGAGGGACGTCAAGAAAGTAAGGTTACAATAATAGATACGTATTAAAAACCGAAAAGTGCATAATACATTTTAATGAAATTTACAAGATAAATTATGCCATTATTTCTCCATATAATCGCATTCCTGGTCCCGAAGCCACTTTTACACAGACTCCTTGACGTTCTCATTGTTAAAAAATCGTTGCCCACCCCAAAATCTCTTTCAATTTAGTGAAAATATGATAATTTGTGGTTGCCAAGTCATGGTAGGTGAGTCATAATATCCCATCCAAATGACACGAGCCGGGCCAGAGAGAGCCGGGTGGTATGTGGTATGGGGTATGTGGTATGGGACAGCAAACACATCAATAACAACTGATGAATGATCCACGAATTTACCACTTATTTCTCTTTCTATAGAAAGTAACTCAGATTATTTAGTCTAGGACTTTTCATAGTTGATCTGAGGTATGTTTTCACTCTTCTCATTGTTGAAAAGCTTCTTTCCACTGAAGCACTAGATACAGTTGATACAGGAATTAAAATAAAGAGTTCAATTACTATTTTTTAATTCTTCAAATCCAACTTGATAACTTTGTAAGCACTTGATTCAACAATTCAGAAAAACCAGTTTGAGACTGAAAACCCTTTAGATGAGGAGGAAAATGACGTCAATAATACCTAATGAAAATGGCATTTAGCGTAGGTAACTGAATACTCCTACTAAGTATATGAGGAAAACTAATAACAGGCTGCACAGTGCACACCACTTCCGGCACAAGTTAAGTTTAAAACTTGAATGTTAAATAATTAAGAAGTTCATCGGTTTTTGTTTGTTTTACTGATTCAACTACTTTAATAGATAAGCAATACTAAAAAAAATCAATTTTTTGAGGATCGAAAACACTTGAAATAGTTTCAATGGCATAATTTGATTTTAATTTATTACCTAAATCGCAGTTATGATTTAGGCGATGCTCATATAGCCAATAACGTAAGTCGTAACTAACATACGTATGTTATAAACTTGTAAAAACACACAATATTTGGCACATAATACTGATCTTTATTTTATAATTAACTAGACTTTTAAACACATACTCGAGAACCATCACATCTGTCGCTTGGATCGATACTGATCGGTCGCGTACAGTGGTCCCTACTGCCTATCTCCTTATCATAATATATATATTGATAACACGTAGTTGCGAAAATAGTTTAAACAAATCTGTGTGACCATTTGGAATTTAAGTTGTCAATATAGAAAACTATTTTTCGTTCTTATATCATATATTATATAGTGCTCTGTGTCACCTAAGTGGCTTAGCATAATACTATTGTAAATACGTGTATACGTATCTGTGGACTGTGGATATATTATTTTAAATATTATTTTTTTTTTTTTTAAAAGAGAAAATCTGGGTAGGCCTTCGCCTACCCGGCCTACTTACTGGCTATACCCCTACAGGCGGCAACAAGATCCCTTACCAGTCCCAAAAGACAGATGCCCTGATCTTCCTTTCTGAAAACTGGACATAGAACTTTTCAGCTAATCAAGAAGCCAACTTTGTTTTTGACCCAGGTCTCAGGAGTATAGTGGCACACCCATGTTTCATCAACAGTCACAATTGAGTAAAGAAACGTTTCACCCTCCCTCTCATAACGTTCAAGAAATTCAAGTGCAGCCAATAATGCAAAAGGTGGAGCGGAAATGGTTAACACCTTAAGGCGTTGTGGTGACATTTCGTAACAGACTGAGAGACTTGATGGCTTATTTTGACTGTTAGGAACTCTGCAATACATCAGGGGTGGCAACTTTGGAAAAAAACTGCTACACCCTAAACAACTCTTTAACCACACTTTCTGGACATAATAATAAACATTTTTATGCATAGAAATAGTAGGTACTAATAGATTTACAAACATATTCGTAGGTTTTCAAAACACATTTATAGTTAGGAAAAAGGCTGCATGCCGTCAATAAAAATGTTTCACATGAAAATAATATTTAAGTCTTCGACGGAACCATGAAATTATTGTATATTATGATTTATGTTCTATACTATATATACCTATTGCAGTTACATGCCATGGCATGTTGTCTGAAAGCTGTTGGCACGGCTGACGCGTCTGTCAGCGTGACGTCTTGTCGTTTGGCTTGTGGTGGTCACGGATACATGAACTGCAGCAATCTGCCGAACATCTATTCACTATCTACTGCTACGGAAATCTACGAAGGCGAAAACACAATACTTCTTTTGCAAACGGCGAGGTGAGGTTTGTTGCAGTTGACTGTTTGTAGTTTAAAAAATTATTAACTAGGGGTCCATAATCTGGCCCACGAGAGTCCATATGTCCAAACTCGTCCGTCATCTCTGCGCTTCTGCATGTTGTCGAATAGTGGGAATGACATCATGGTGGGAGAAAACAGACGTCGCGTATTACTATATCGATGCTCGGTTTACGTATGGTCTCTCGTGGGCCGGAGTATAGCTGATATATTGTCCCAACATCAATTTCCGGACAATACATTTTTTTCTCTCGTTAGATTTTGATTCAAAAGAATTATTGAAACACGATCATGATCTGTAATCGTATATTTAATATTATCGTCGATCATATGCTAGAATGCTATTTTTCGACCACAAATGTCCAAATAAGGGTGAATAGGCGATATATGTATACATCATCGATTATTGCTTGACTTTTAGTGTGATAAATTAATTTAATATTCGCCTCTCTTTGGTATAGTAAATAGTAATATCTAATACAGCCGGCTCGATTACTAGCTGTGTACCAGCATAGTACAGGTGATTTGGAACTCTCGTTGGAAAATGTCATGTTAGTATTTATTAATTCATTGGAGATATTAAAAAAGAACAAATTTAAGTCAAATGAAGAGTTGAAGATATTATAGCTCATGGAAATAGGCTCATCCCCTATCATGCGGAAAATTAATTGAACAAGAAAAATGTATTGATGTGCAATCATAAATGACAGAAAATGTTACTATTATTATTCTTAAAGGGAATATTTATCGCTCTTAATATTAATTTGTAAATTATATATTTTATTTTTTTATTACACTTATTGACACATTCATATCGAATGTCTAAATGTATACGTATTTATTAAATAATATTCATTAATATTAAATATAAATACCTATAGCTACTAAGTATATAAGGAGTATAAATATCAATCTTGTCGGTTAAATGTTGTCTCGTAAAAAGTATGCTGGGCAATTTGAATGATCCCACTTATTAGTTATTAGCTGTATCTCAAAAGTCGTAACGTGTTTTGGAGTTAATAGATTTTTGATGAAATCGTACGAAACCGTGCAACTGGGAAACTTTGTGTCTACGTCGGAAACCCTGTCGTACTTGAAAATATACAACAGCTTAAAACGATCGCCATGGACGACGACGTTAGATTGTATGGCCAGCGCGTTTTTTCAAGTTGCCGGAAGGTATGTACATAGCGGTATATAGCTATAAATTAAAATTATAATATATTAATTAATAATTACCTATATCTTTATTTTTGTACTTCTTTGCCCATTGAAATTGCAACATATTGACTCTATTTAATTAAAATGTAGTCCAATTCATTATTTTATATTCGGTGTAAATGTGTAATAGTGTTTAAAATTTAAAATTGTTCTACTATTTCTATTATAATCTGTGAAAACTAGTGAAAATGTTGTTACAAAAACAGTGGGTCGAGAGTTAAAAAGGTTGAAGACCACTTCAGTCTAAACCATAGAAAATATAGGAAAATATTTTTCATATTAAAAAATGTAATTCATTAGGTACCTAGGTAAATTATTGACAACAATTTAGATCCACTCCACATTTTAATAAAAAAATATTTGGGTAAGTAAATAAAAAATAAAAATTAGTGCTGTCATGGGACACCCAGTTTAAATGCAGTTTCTTTAATATTTTCCAACAAATAGTATAGATTACAAATACATTTTAGTGGAACAATTCAAAATAAAAATAAATGTGAAAAATAAATGAAAATGAAAATTATTATTATTACTACTTAATTACTATTATATTAATCATATACGAGCCCAGCACTTTTGAGGATTTTCACTTTTTTCCTTATTAGTAATAAGTATTCAATTAAAAACAATTGTCAGTATAGCTTTTTCACAAAAAATTGTTGTGACTAAATAATTATTGATACAAATATATCAATTTTGCATAACAAGTAGCAGGTTTAAAATACGATACCTACCTAATTAATATGTTAGGAAATATTTTTGGGACTAAGCTTCAGCGCAGTTCAGCCTCAAGCGAACATCCAAGTCCCAAAGCAATATACCATTACACCAATAATAGTTAATACCATAATAATTACGTATTTTTAAGACTTGTATATAGTCGATGGTAAAATGTACATATTAATTTAATACGAGTATAAAAGGTGTAACTCTCAAGATTTTTTTATTTTTAGTAAAATCGACGACTGTTACTTCACCATAAAACGACTGATGGATTCTGGAATGGCTCAAGAAGATGCTTGGAATCAAACATCCATTAAACTTACTCAAGCATCTGAAGTAAATATTATATTTTTTAAATAATTAAAATATTACAATATATATTTTAAAACAAACTTAACATATTTAATAATTTATATTCTGATAGCTGTGCGAGTGTGCGATAAATCTATTGAATTTACAACGATGTGTTTTTTTTGTGTCTGTCATCACAGTAAAAATGCTTAGATTTTCTTCAACAGTATCTTTTCTGATGGGAAACTGAATATAGTTGGTTAGGTTGTAAAGTATCTATGCATTTTTATTTTTGTCTTTTGAATTACAACAAAATAGAAACATTTATATTTTCAAAAACTAATTTTGCGTAAAAATTCCATTTTACTGTTACTTTTTTGTTTTTTCCAATTATTCAAAAAATACTGAGAATTTCAAATTTCGACTTCCTAAAAGTCCGAACTAGATTCACTTCCATACAAGAAAAAATATCGACCGTTGAAAATCAGAGAATTTCTTCTACTAGATGTAAGTCATGTACAAATACACAAAAAAGATATTATAAAACAGAAAAGTGCTCGATGATCATTATTAAAGTTTAGTCTATATAATGTGCCCATAGTTCAGTACTAAGTATACTTTTATGTGATGTTTTTGGTGGTGTGTTAATATTCAACAAATGCGAAAGTCGAAACTATCGTTTCAGAAAACTTTTTATATTTTTACAGGCGCATTGCAGAGCGTTTGTGATTAGCATATACGTAAAAACACTTGAAACGAATCAATTTTCGCCAGAGCTGATGGCCGTTCTTACTCAACTCGGAGAGCTAATTTGTGCGCAGTGGATATTAAATAGACTCGGTGATTTTCTACAGGTAAATATGACTTTTTGTCCGCTTGTTCTGCGTTTTCGTTTTATTACCGAGATTATATTTAACGATTTCAGCACACCAATCTAAAACCGAACGATGTACATTCAATACAACTTTTATTAGAAGACTGTTTAAAACGTATTAGACCCAACGCAGTCGGTCTAGTAGACAGTTTTGATATTCAGGACGAAATATTGGACTCTGCGTTAGGATCCTACGACGGAAACGTATACGAACGGCTTTTGTCGGAAGCCAATAAAAGCCCTCTGAACAAAGAACCAGTGAACCGCTCGTTCGAGCTGTACTTGAAACCGTTTTTAAAATCCAACATGTAAATAAAATCCATTATTCCAGCTGTGTTTTTAAAAATATCGATGGAGAGAATATCATTTATGAGGATAATATTATGTTAATAATTAATTTTGTACAATTAGGTAGGTATTTAATAAACCAAAAAATACCTTGTTAAGTACAATTGTGTTTATTTAAGTTTTAGAATTAATATAATTTATACAATTTATCAAAATCATAATATAATACTATACCTACTGACTACTACTTCCTAGTATAGAAACATACCACGGTATGTAGAGTATATAACATGAGGAGTAACAAAATATCAAATATAGGTACCTAGTTACAAACCAGTGTTAATCTGATTTCTTAAATGTATAAGACATTAAGAAGATATAAATATGATTAATAAAAAATAAACAATTCAATCAAATTAATAAAAAAAAATCATTATTTTAAGCAATGGACTTTCAAAATTGTAAACAATTAATCTACACAATTGTGTATACTAGGTATACATGGAAATTGTTGCCATTGCAATTACATATTTATATTCGGTTGAGTAGGCACTTTTTAACTGATTTAAACTAGAATTAGAATATCTTTAAACAGGAAGACTTAGATCCATAGGCGCAATTTCAATTTTTGACTTAAAGGGGGTGAATATATTAAAAGTGAGCAGACCATTGCAATATAGCATTTTAAAATTTTAGGTCCTATTTTATTTTATTTTTTTTGGTGGTGGGGGGTTTACAGCTAAGTTTGGGGGGGATTAGCCCCCCTCCCCAATTTGTGCCTATGCTTAGATCGCTAATTTCTTGTTCAGTAGTTTATTTTTTTAAAAACTACATGTCTATGGAAGTAAATATGGACAGTCTAAGGGGAGAGGAGCTATAACTAGTTGGTATTAATTTTTGTATCGTGTGTTGGCCACAAACACAATACAAACAAACGTACAAGAACGGTTATTCATATTTATTATTATAATAAATAATAGATATATGTTGGCTCAATAGTATATTATGCTGCCTAGTTATTAATGTTATTAACGTTTTAATTTTGTTCAAAATACATTTGTGTATTATAATACATCAGTTTTTACTTTTTACTTTCATTTATAATATTTATATTTTTCCGATTACGGTTATAATTTTTGTTTTCTAAAAGTTTTCCTATATTCTTTTTAAGTTTATTTTCGTTTGTAAAGTATAAGTTCTTTTTATTTTCAACATAAAATAATTACACTTTTTGGATTAATAGACACACGCACATCAACAATGAATGCAATTATTAACGAAGGATTATATCTCTCAGACCACAGTTCTGAAGACTGAAATATTTTTATGCTCCTACAATGTTTCAACACCCATCAAGCTGTATAGAAAAGTTATTAAGGCCAATGAATTGTTTTGATAAAAGTCTTGGTCGGCGCATAAGTAAGCTAAACTATAGATGCCTAGACCAAGTAAGATGATTTTAAGTGTTAAGTATTTTGTAAAATGTATTTATTTAATATTGTCGCCCCCTTACCATTTCATCACCATACCAAACACTCACTGTCGCCGGCCGGCGTCACACACACAAAATAAACACTTTGTTCCAGGACCGTCAAAAAATGTTTATGAATGAGTTTCACGACATTTAAAACAAGTTGAATAAAGATGTCCAATAGGAAACAGGAATAGTGAATGGTAGGAGACTTAGAAATAGGACTTTGATAATCTCTAAATAATAATATATATCTTTAATAAAAATATGATAAATTTAATAGTAATAGTAATAATAGGTAATATAGTTATAATTATAATATTAGGACAGTATTGAATTTTAAATAAGGATCGGGGTGATATCATACTAAGAAATTAAAACTTCTGTGTCTTTACTCCTCTTGGTCCTATGTGACAAATATAAATCCCTCGTCTCTAGCAGCCTAGCTCGCCTTTCCAGAGGTCGAAACACTCTAAAATTCAAAGCTTTATAGTAGGCCGAAAATGTGCGAATGCCGTGTTGAGACAAAATTAAAAATTTTAAATGAAAACCTATTAAACGTTAAATTCGATATTTATTTATTTATATTAAAATATGTTTTATTGATGTATAAATAACGAAAAATGTTATACCTACTAGAGAAGTGCAGTTTTCGCTGTACCTATACTGATCTATGTAAATTACAATATTATTGTAGTCGACCGGCTTTCTGCACGTGTTCTCGCTTGCGATGTGGATTAGGCCTACGGCCTACAGGGGACACCTCAATAATTTACAATAATTTACTTCATGCTTTTAAACAATGTGGGCGACGTGATAAAATTTCGTTTAACAAGCATAGATGCAAGACGCAAGTGTGGAAACTTACGCTACGCTGCAGTAATCCTACTTGCAGTACCGAGTACCTACATTGAAGTAATATAGACAACACTAATAATAATAATGAGATAAAAAACTGTATAACATTAGACCGTGGTAGAGATTAAAGAAATATATTTTTGAAGCTATACAGATCACAGATAGCTTAAGCGCAGATTTACGAAACCTCGGAGGCTGGAGAAATGTTCTTGATTTTTACGTATTTTGTCAAGATTTGAACTTTAAATGCGTATAAAATGAATTGTGACTATAGATTTTAATTATTTTCCAAAGTTATTGTAACAATATATTAGTAGCCTTGTATTAAATTTTCAAATTTTTTTAGCTAACAAATAAAATTGTATTGACATTCAAAGAAAAAAAACTAAAATAATTGGAAAAAGAAAATGTCCGTAAACAGTTCAAAACAAATCAAAATATTTTGAAAATTTTATCGTGTATAGAAAATACTATGATCTATATTTCGACCAAGACATCATCATTAAATTTGATGAATTTGAGATAAATGAAGGTATAGTAGAAAGTAGAACGATTAGAAATACTAACTAAAACTACTCCAATTTTAAAATCAGCTGCAGCAGTTCCAACAATTTTATTTTATTTTATTTATTCCCTACAAACGATGCACTTAATGAACACGCACATCACTCAATTGCACACTCATACATTCATATACATTCATATTTGCAATTATCAGACTCATAGTATCCACTTAATTATAGCCTAATCCCATAAGATCCCAAGAGAGACGACCGCCTCTCGATTACCCCCTTCACCACTCCACTTCGAGAATACATACATACATACATACATACATACATACATACATACATACATATACAATATATACATACATACCACCAAGAGGTTCCTCCGTTATCATCAACATTGGGCACTGAATGTTTTTACAGCTGCTGGGGGTTTTGTTTGGCGTAACATTTTTATATTAGTCAGTGTTGTATATACAGATGGTACTTGTATATACCTACATACATTCGTGGCCACTGAAACTTTTATTTTAACACATCAAACATAATTATTATACAAAACAATATAAGAAATAAAGAATACAAGGAGTTAGTTAGGAAAAAATTGAGAAATAAACCAGATTACAACACAATATATGTATCGTTTATTGAACACGTCACGTATTTTTATGATTTTCAGTTTTTTATTTGTTTCATTTGTTTATTTTTCCCAAACGACTTTATGAACATTAACAGCAGTGTACTCACAGATTTTTTGTTTGACGTTTATAATATTTCAGCTCAGGTTTTATATTATACTCGAGTATTATATTTTATATATTGTAAAATTATAACTTATAATTTTATATTAATCACTTGGTTGTATAGTGTTATCTCGCGACTTTTTGTTAATCTCACGGAGTAAGATATAATGGACTAGGAAACGAGCACGATTATAAAGAACTTCTTTATAATCGTGGAAACGAGTAGGTTATCAGTGGCAAGAAATATAATATTATGTATAAATGTACAATCAGTGCAGGGGGTCGAGAAGATAATGGTCATTAAGAGTTTACAATGTCATATTCTGTCGAATCTTTTTAAAAGATATAAATGTGACGCTAAAAAATAAAACCACTGTTCAGAAAAATGTATTTAACTTCTGTTTTTCTGTTCTTTTCCTGAGTATATAGGTGCATACATTTTATTTCTTAATAAACACAATTTTCAGGGTTTAAGGCCGTAAACAAAAAACAATTATATTATTTACATTTTAGATTCTGAGCGGAGCGATGAATGTTTGTTTTTTTTTAAATTTTTCTTTACTTTTGTGTCTGTTATCATGGTTTGGGGCAGTAAAGCTGCTTCGATTTTCTTCAAGAGTATCTTGTTCGATGAGCAAGTGAATCTAGTTGGTACATTTAGGAGGAAAATTTTAAAATTCTCAATAGTTTTCAAATACGCTGGGAAAAACAACATAAAAATTAAGGAAAAACGGGAATTTTTACGCAATATCAGTTTTCGACTAAATTTTGGTTTGAAGCGTACCTAACTCTAAAACCAATGAACGTATAAACATTACATTTTGACTGGTTGTTTGTATTCACATTTTCTATACACGATTAAATCTTCAAAATATTTTGATTTGCTTTGAAATGTTTAGGAACATTTTCAGTTTCCAATTATATTAGTATTTTTTTCTATGAATGTCAATAAAACTTTATTTGTTTGGTAAAAAGCTTGGGAATTTAATACAAGGTTCCTACTATATTGTTACAATGGCATTTAAAAAATATTAAAAATCCTTAGTCACAGTTTTTTTTTTATACCCAATTAAAGTTCAAATCTTAACAAAATACGGAGAAATCACGAAAATTAGCAAATTATTATTTTGAGTTGACAATTCATCAAAATTTTTCTTTTTAAATCTGAAATTTGAAAATGTAATACAAGATTATTCATAAGCTTGTCAACCTTTATCAAAAAAAGAATGTCCACTAGCAAATCAAATTACATTTTTATGAGCGTTTGGAGTTCATATTTTTACAATATTGGTTATTCACTCGATTTATCATGTAGCGATTTTGCTATTTTGTTGTTATTCAAAAACAAATAACTATAGATACATGAAAATTTTACTGAATGTTTATATTTTCTTTTTCTATACAGCATACAATTTTGAAAATATTTTGCCTCTTTTTGAGATT